AGGTGATCATTAGTCCAGTTATTGAACCACTTAAGATGAAGGTGAGGATCAGGATTTGGCCTCTCCACCCTGTCTCCTCTGACGGTTGATCTCTGACCCAAGAGTTAGCCCCTTTGCAGCAAGGATGCGGTGGGTGAGGAATGAATAAGGACAGTATAAGCTTTGGGAAATTGTTATTGCTGTTCTGTGACACATCACACCTGCCTGACACTGTCAGTGGCTTCTCTTCCTGTGCTCTTTACAATAGATACTTGCTTCCCATCAACGTAAGGATCATTTCTCGGAAGCATTTGTAAAGAAAAAGACCAAGGAAGGACAGGTGGGACTTTATAGAAATCGCAGAAGTTAAATCAATTTCAGTGCTAAGACAACAAATGCATTGACTGAAACATAAGATTGTGTTTATCTCAGTAGATCATCGAGAAGTAATAGAGTACTCAGACACAGTTTAACCCCACTCCCCCATACTGTTAGCACTCTTATTTAATAGTTATTACACTGCACAGATAAACTGTCAATTAGACAGAAATCTACACCACAAATGCTATCTACAGAGGTGAACAGACTAAAGCAGAATTCCCCGCATATTGTATAATTAACATTGATCGCATAAAATGTACATTAATGTAACTGTCACTGGGCACTTTTGAAGCCACTTTCAGGATTTTGTTACTAAGCAAATCAAAACACGTGATACAGTGTTTGGTTGACGCTATTTTTGACTGCACTTTTGGCAACCCCTCCACCCAGCTGAGGCTCCCAGCCAGCTGTGTGAAGCCTTTGAAATATCCTCCCAAAATGAAAGGCATTTTATAATTTTAAATTGTTGTTGTCATTGACTATCATGTTTGATATTCAATTGGTTGTAATTCTGTTATCATAATAATGTCTGAAATTCTACAACAACTTGGATTTATATAGCGCCCTCCACACCAGACGGTGTCGCAGAGCACTTTGCGCTCTGAGTCTTTCACTTTTTAATTCAGTACACAAACCTTGCTTATTTTAAAATATATCATATAAAAGGTGCATTAATACAATACTTTTATTGAGAATTGCTCACAAGCAAGCTTGAGTTTCTCCTATGATAATGGTCAGTATTCTAGATCTTCACCCAAGAGTCAGCAGAGCAATGTGAAAAATATTTCTGCATATTAGAGGAGATAAGCATTTTGTTTGACTTAATGCTAATAAGTTCAAAAGTGAATTCACATGGACCTTCAGCAGGTCCAGTCCCATAGTTTGATGTAGAAGCATGTTTTAGAATGGGGGGAAAGGCAACATGTTCTATTTGGGTATCCGAAAATCAAATCAAATAAAGTTTGGATTGACTTTCTGTTTGTTTCCATAATAATAACAATCATTACTAATAATAACAATCATTAACAATAATAATAATAATAAAATGTTATTCTCAAGTATCTCAAATTTCAGATCTCAAGTTTGGGGTTTTCGGTATTACAGTACTTACAGTAGTGGAGTCCTGTAGCTCAGTGGTTAGAGCACTCGCTTTGCAAGCGAGAGACCTGAGTTCAATTCCAGGCAGGGCGAAACCTTGGGCAAGTTTCCTTACTCCACACAGAGCCTAATAATAATCCCTCCAAAACCAAAAACAATAATAAATTGGTCATTTTTAATCTACGACTGTTTGTGGGACATTGCTGTGCGCAATTGGCTGCCGCGTTCGCCCACAAATATACAGTCAATTCATTTTACAGTGTGTTCTGTGAAGCGCTTTGGGACGTCCTCCCGATGTGAAAAGCGCTATATCAAATGCAAGGATTATTATTATTATTATTAATGTATGCACTGGTTAACTATTTTGGGGACACAGAATTTTTTTTAACTCCTATAGATATAGAGATACAAAATGTGATGCTTAACAGTTGGCATTTAATAATAATAATAATCCTTGCATTTGATATAGCACCTTATCATTGAGATGTTTCAAAGCGCTTCACAGAATACACTGTAAAGTGAATTGACTATACATTGTGTGGGCAAAATTAGCTATCAAGTTGTAATTGAATCTTTTAAGAATGTTTTCAGTCTAATAATGACTGTGCACCCTTTGTAAATCCTTGCTTTGCCATTGTAGTGCCATTAGTTGCCTTAATTGTTGTTTCTACTTATGGAACATTTCAATGCCTGAGTTAACTCAATATCATTCAAAGCAGCACTTCCCAGGGCTTTGCAGCATCAAATCTAAAATCAAGATTCAGATTAAAGTTTATCTGCACCACGTGTAAGATTAGAGGCCAAGCAATGGACAATGCCACCAAACTAAGAGGCGTGAGGAACCAGACTGCTGACATATCCTCATAAGTTGATAGAAGCTTAAAGCTTTGTAACATCAGGAAACAGAATCGGGGTAGAAAGACTATCCCCATGGCTATTGAAAACTGAATTCTGTGAACATGACACTCCAATTGGGAGTTTCTTTAAATTTACTTGAAAACTTAACTATGGCGTCAATGGTTAATCTTGTATGTCAGTCCGTCTCAAGCTCAAGTACTGATAAGCCGATTGTTTAAATATGAATAACAGTGCACACAAAGTCTTAAGGTCACAATCATAGATAAGCACATTTTGAAAGCTGTGTTTGTTGTGAAGAGAACCCCCTTTTATTCATAACTTATTTTCAATGTGTCCCGAAGGAATGTTTTATGTTGTGCATGAATAAGCACAATATTTGTGAAGTCTCTACTCTGGCCAGTCAGTCTCTGGGGCAGATCAGTTGAATGACACCAAATATTTTGAGTTTTTCAGTTTTCAAGTGGCATGTTTGAAATATCATAGATGTGAGATAGTAATCTCTGATATATTTGAGAATAAACTATTGTTTTTTTTTCCTTTATTAGTTTGCTCCTCTATTGCAATGGACCACAAAAGATCTCTGCCAAACGTCTTGCAAGATAAACTCCCAAATAATCTGAAAACATGCCACTGAATTTGTGAAATCTGTTTGTAAATGCTAACTCAGGCATTTGCAGGGATGCTCTCCATTGTAAAGGGCTCACCACTTGGGTTTTTTGCATTCCAAGCAGCAGGTTGCAAGGAAGGAGCTATCAATGACTCAAGTTATGGAGTGCAACTGGAGGGATTTTGAAATTTATAAACCAGGGAGCGCTAGAAATTTACTGGAGGTAATTCTGTCTTCCCTCCCAACACCCCTTAACTTTAATTGAGTCAATTTCTGGTCTCCACACCATAATAATACAACCTCGATGGAAACAGTAAGTTCACGAGGATGATACCAGGGATAGCAGGTGCTGCTATAAGGATAGACTGGATAGGTCTTTTTTTCCTAAAGAAACGTTTAATGGAGACCTAATAGAAGTAATACTATTTGCATTTCATATAATGCATTATCAAGTTGCCGTTAAGTCTCAAAGCACATCACAGGATATAATGTAAAGGATGACTGTGTACTAAGTGCTTATAATTGGGCTCAATAAGGTTAACATAAGTGGGGTATTTCCACTGGTTGGGGCATCCATAACCAGGGGTCACAAACGTAAGATTGTGACTAGATCTAATAGAGAATTTCGGAGGAACTGCTTCCCACAGAGGCTAATGAAATTGTAGAATTCGCTGCCTGAAGCAGTGGCTGAATCAGATAATGTAGATGCATTCAAGAGGAAACTAGCCCTTCACGAGAGAGAAATAATACTTGCATTTGATATAGCACCTTATCACATTTTTAAGATGTCTCAAAGTGCTTCACAGAATATACTGTAGAATGAATTGACTATACTTTGTGGGCAAAACGCCCACAAAATATACAGTAGGATACAAGAGGGAATAAGGAATGGGTGAAGATTTGTGTGAAGTATAAACACTGGCACGGGTAAGTTGGACCGAATGGCCTGTTTCCTTGCTGTGGATTCTTTGTAAATCTTTATAACCACAAGCAGGAAGTGGAGCAAGGTCTGGAAATTGTTCCCTCCCTACCCTTTCAAGGTAGGTCTTATAAATGTCCTCTATATAAATAAATGACAGTGCTTTTGGTCAATCTCCCCACCCCTTAGATTCCACCCCAGCTTGAGTACCCATCCAGCACTGTGAGTGCACTTTCGGATGTCCTCCCACTGTGAAAAGTACTAAATGTGAGTTGTAGGTGTCCACTGCCTGGTATAGTGTTACTGTAAGGGGAGTAAGATTGTAGGTTCAAATCGATCTGTGCTGAGCTAGATATCTCAATCTCAAACCTAGAAATCCTAGGTTCGAGAAGCGAAAACAGACCAAGTTCCAGCTTCTGATAACTATCCAAACAGAGGCTTTGCCAGAAGGTGCACATGTTGTTACTTGTTAAATGTCAAAAAGAGCCCGAGCTTTAATTGGAAATAAGGTCAGTCAACAAGAAGGGACATTTAAGATAATAAAATAAAATCTTGCATTTGATTCAAATCAAGATATCTCAAAGCGCTGTAAAATGTTGTGACTGTTTATGCAAACAGAATACGATTTGCACACAGCATTTCCGCAGAAAACAGCCATGACCAATTTTATCTGGAGGATTTGGGGGCAAGAAATAGAGAAATTCCATTCTTTTTCATAGTGCCATGGGATCTTTAACATCCACTTGAACAGACAAACGGGACGTAGTCTCATCTGAACGAAAGCACCTTATTTTGGTACTGTATTGAAGTTGTCATCCTAGATTGTGACTGTTCAAAGTCCCAATATGAACCCACAAACTTCTGACTTAAGAAGTGAGAATGAGGCTAAGAACTCAACCGGACTGACACCTGAAGCTGACAGCATCTATTGGCTGGATGACAATATGCAAACAGACTCCTCAATAACAATACAAATGATTTATTGATCATGTGGAGAAGCTTCAAATAATGGTACATGAGTAGTAACAGTGAAACAACCTGGACACCTAGGATATGTTTCTCAATAATATGCATTGGATGTGAATGAAGACCAATGGCATTAAAGACAAAAATGTCATTTCCTACTTGAATGACAAATAAATTCAGAATACTAGAAACTTAAGGCAAATTCAATGTTATTTATTCCAGTCATTGAAACCTTGATACATCTTTAATTCAACACAGGAAGATGTGAACTTGAATTGTCAGTTACCACATTCGTCAATTAGAATTGAGGTAAAAATCAGACTGGTGTAACAGTCAGATCCAATTGAAATACATTGGAATTGCATGGTAAACTTATGTTGTCTAAACTGCCCTGTAAAGGTTGAGGTTTTTGTAGTAAATAATTTGGAGGCTAGGGTAATAACTCAAACTAATGTTCTATTACTCTGCAATACTTACACTTAAACATATTTTTAAAATATATTTTAAAAATGTATATTTTAAAAATCAATTAGTGTTACATTAATTAATTCTATCGGGACAGATTATATGGCTTTCCGAATGCAAGCAATGCTACTCCTTCAGAAATTCAAATCTCTCTCCCATGTATTACTTGGTGAAGATGCACACAAACTGAATCAAACATTATCGAGAACTCATTTCTTAAATAGAAAACGAACTGTGGTTGTACTAAGTTTTCTTTAACAAACATTTAACAGGTAAAACTTAAATGGGATTACATCACACAGAGATATGGTTTAATTTATAGTTCACCAGAAATGGCTTATGTGGCGGTTGTTGTCAGAATAATTGTTTTGACAATTTTGTACAGTAGGAAGATTGTTTAACAAAGAGATTAGGTACAAACTGCCAATAGTTATTTAAGATTTGAAAAGATGGAAGCAATCTAATTAGTGAGAGAAAGTTGAAGTAGGATTGTACATTTTATTTAGTGCATTGGAATAATTATTTTCACAATTATTTAAACCGTTCTGAATAACAGGACTTTGTGGACTGTGCATTGTAGGACAGAAGGCGAAAGGAGAGATTTAAAAAACCTGAAATGTGTCAAATCCAAAACACTACAAATGAGAATATTTAAATTGAGACCTTTATGCCATCCATTTAGAAATATTCCATTCATATGCTATAGCCAAGCTCTACTCACCAATGTTCATTCATAAAGGGCAGAAATTTGATAATCTTCCACGTGAATTAAAATCAGAGCATGCTGTGTACAGCTGTTAACTTAAGTGCGTGTCTGTTGAGCACTAAAACCATCAGTCATACAGAACAAACCGCCAATTGTTAAATGTAAGTATTGCACTATCCATTAGTTTACACATTTTGACACTTTACTCTCCCTCACTACTAGTGTTATGCAGAGATGACAATTGCTGCCTTAATTGATCCATTTAAGGCTCAAAGTTTCTGCTATGAAAGCATACATATCAGAGACCTCCTGAATTACTTTAGCTGTTGGTTTCCCTGCACCATGCCCAGCCTTGGTATCAACGTAGATGAATAGTGGGTTAGTCTGTCTTGGACTTCGGCCAACGATATGCTGCAGAGTAGCTATGAATTTCAGAGAATGCAGAGGTACTACACGATCATCATGATCTGCTGTCATTAACAACACTGCCGGATACTCAACATCACCACCTTCTGGCAGCTTAATATTATGAAGTGGAGAGTACCTGTGAAAAATAAATAAGTATGGAAGTCAATACTCCAAAAAGTCAAAATGTAAAACTAAACATTTAAAAAGAAATGCTAGCTTTAAATGCAAATGCAAAAATTATATTACCTTCCTAAAATTGAAAGTATTTACATTACTTATTTATAATCACAATATTATTTTAATGTTTACAGCACGTTTCATGGTGGGAGGACATCCCAAGGCGCTGATTTTAGTCACAAAGTACAAAAAATCATTGGATTAATTTCTGCCGAGGGCTAAGTTAGCTGATCTCAATTTGGGACAGCACAAGGGAGAAATTAAATACGACTTCAACACTTTGAGCTTGGCAGGGGGGAAAAAAACGGCCTTCATTAATACCCAGGAACTACAGCTGGTACGTGGTACAACTGGTGGGTGTTGGATGAGGTCAAGTGCTCTTATCATCCCTAAACAATAGAATACACTGTTTACAATTAAGATTCACACATGAGAAATAAACACTTTTGAAAAATACACTCACAATATCAGAACTGAACATGTTTCAGTACCTTAGGAGAAGAAAGAAGTTGCTTTATATAAATATGTTAGAAGGGATAATTGTAGAAAAGAAAGTGATACTTTTTAAATGGAACTCAGAGGGGACAAATTATAAGGACTAGGTGGTAGGGAAGTTGGGAAGGAAACAGTACAAATCTGACAACAATCTTTTGAGCATCATTGGATAGGAAAGTAATCATAGAAGACTGGAGGAATGCTCACATAACAATCCTGTTCAAAAAGGGACAACATGATAAGGCAAGTAACTATGGACTAGTCAGTCAAACTTCTAAAGTGGGCAAACAATATCTGCATTTCACCTAGAACCTTTCATGCCAGAAGGACATCTCAAAGCACTTCAAATGATTTACCATTATGTGTAGTATACTGTGTATTGTGTATGCAAAAGCAGTAAGCAATTTGTACACAGTAACATACCACTAATGGCAATAAAGTGAAGGACCAATTTTACTATACTTTTTGAGAATGCAAAAAGTGTTCCTTAGTTATCCTGGTCACCAATTAAGGAAAACAATTAAGTTTAGGAATACTGCAGTTTTGACCATGTAATTTCCAAGTTCATTCTTTCTGAATATTGGGAGAATAGTCACTATTCCAGAGTTGTCAGGTATAATTGCATAGCAACAGAGGAACGATTTGTGGCAGGAGACAAATGGGCTATCCAGCTGCCCATCCAACTATCCATAAGCTTCTCCAAGAATCTTATAATTTAATGTGCCCACCTCACTAAGTTTATTAAAAAGAATCTTCCCTAAAGTTGCTTCTCAAACCTGTAAAGTAAATATAAACAAAGGATCTAATCTAGAAATTGTGTTCCTTTAAATATTTCTTTGAATGACTCACTTGATTAGGAAATCAAACTGCTCCTTGGATTCTGAACTGCCATAATCAGTGGTCCAAGCATGCCCAATGGTAAATTTGTGGAACTTAAGCATGTCCATGACCCCAACTTGAGCCACGGCACAGCCAAAAAGATGAGGTTGCTGGTTCACACAAGCAGCTATAAAAGAAGCAGAAACAATTGATATGAGGAAGCAAAGTTAAAGTAAAAATTCAAATTTGATGCATGCAAATTATACACCATGATATATATGAAAAATACAACCATTAACCCTTTATACAAGGCAGATCAGTCAACTGTCAATCAGAAAAAATTTAACATTCATAAATATTTAAATTCACGAGATTGGCTCAAGTGGAGAAGGCCCTTCGGTCCATCTGATCTCATCCTTTCAGAATATGCACCCTACTGTCCTCTCAACACAGCATCAAGCTTTTCTTTAAAATTTGTCCAGTGTCCTGGTGTTCCAGTTGTTAATTATTCTCTGGATAGATTTAATTAGCAATTAATGAAGCATTACATTTCTTTTATTCTTGCTGCCAACTTCAGAAACATTTTGTGAATCACCACATTTATAAGCAATTAACATTTACTGAAATGAGCATCAATTTCCAAAATCGAAGCAAATCTTTTGTGGCTTACACTAAGTACTCTTCCCGACAAATTCAAATGTGTGCTTTCTAACATTTTGATTTAAAAAAGAAATGAGACATCAATCTGGACATAACACGAATAGAATTTAAAAAAATGATGATTACCAAAGTGAAGAGTGTCAGTTTTAGGGAATGTAATACTTCTTTCTCTACAATCAAAGAACTCCCAAGTCAGGCATTCTACAGTAAGGTGAAGAATAAATCTGCTCTTCATTAGCAATCTGCCTTAACCTAAGCTTCATAAGAACACCCATTTTTACAGTAGCAAGATATTTTCCTTTTTTTCAAATTAACATTCCTTACCAACTCTGAGAGGTTATTAACTTAAATTTATGCAGAAATGTTAGTAGTTGTGTTGTATGGAGTCATATCTATGGGGAAACAGGCAGTTGTACCCAAAATAAATCAGACCTATATAACCGGTAGAGAGGGAAAGAGTTATCCCATCAGTTTGAGCTACATCTCACGGATATTCCAATAGGATAGGTCACTAACTTGCTCTGTTACCTGGTCTCCCAGTGGACAACAGAGCCTAATTCTGCACATCCACCTGAGTTGCACTACTACAATACTCTATTTGCTGAGAGACAATACACAGTTTTATCATTGGATGCATAGAAAATGATTTTTTTTACTTGAAAATGAACTGTAAAGAAATCTTTTAATCTCAATCTCAAGGTGAGGGATGACATGTCAACATCAAGAACTCCCTTGGAAATCAGGAAAATGGAATAGTTGCCAATTAAAGCTCCATCTATGATCTAATATTGCCTTAACTATAGAGAATTTCGATTATATGAATGTTGGAATTTCTATTTCTTACACCAGTCAACATTATTTACTAAATAAGACTGACAATTTAATGCTATTACCACAGAATTACAAGTCGTTTTAGCTTCATTTCCATTAGGAACTCCTTTTACTTCAGGGTCTTATAGCCCATCAGCTGACCATTTTAACATTCTTAGTTTAGTTTGAGGCCAGTTGCCTGAAATGAAAATAGCTTAGCTTATTTCTAAAACTAATTAAAGCATAGAAAGTCTCTGTTCCAACTTGAGTAAAGTTTTAGTCACAGTAATGATTTCCATCTCACTACAATCTGAAATTGAATGGCAAGGCACACTCAAGTGATAAGCAAATATATGTGCTTCTCAAAAGCTCTTTTCTGTCTATATATTCTTCCCCGAAATATAATGCAGTATGTGCCAACCTCTTTAGCTTAATTCACCATGCTATCTCACTTAAAAGCTGCAGTCACATTTTTAAACATGGTAACATTTTATATATGTGTGCATATATATATATACACACACATAAATATATATATTCCCGACATATCTATAGCCTTAAGAAATTCTAATAATTATAAGAGTGTTTAAAACAGGAGTGATTTGAGATAACCCTCCTTGCGTTTTGTCAGTGAAGTTGTTAGAACAGAATTTACCTACAATAAGTTGCAAAAAATAATTAAAGAGAATTAAAATGAGAAATTCCTCCAATCAAAACATTATTACAAAAGTGCTCAGCAAGCATGTAAACCAGGTATCATATAAATCAATAGTTGTTGCTTGCAATTCTGGTGTTTGTTTTGTGAATTAGTGAATAGGATAGCAATAGTAAAAATTATTGCTGCATTCTAAAATGCATCTTCAAAAGTTGAAATGTATAAGATAAATTATATTTAAGAGCATGAATAGCAAGTTTTAAAATAAATGCAATAATAAAGATGTTCAATCGCAGTACATTTGAATCTAGTGCAATCTTACACCAACGTTAAAGGAGTTCAAACAAAAGCATTTTTATGCACTTAACTGCAATACTGTATATCAAAGAGTTTTATTCATTGGTAAGATGAGAGGTCTTTAAATGCATTTCGTTTGTTACCAAATTGTTATCTTATGTAGTCATAGAAAAAGGATGAGTTCAGTACTTTTGATGTCTATAGCTGGACTGAAAATTAACTTTTAATGAAGCATATAATTTTGGTAGCCACCCATCATGCAACAGTGATAAACTCGGACGCACAAATAAAATGGCATCGTACCCACTAATAATCCACCATTAGAGCCTCCATTGACGGTCAGTTTTAATGAAGAAGTGTAGCCCTTTGAAATGAGATATTCAGCAGCACACTGGAAGTCATTGAAACAGTTTTGTTTTCTTGCTAGCATTCCACCTGAAAATAAGACACACATTTTATTCACTGGAGTGCACTCATTTGATTTTCCAATGCAAAGTTTTTTTTTAAAAAACATAATAGATCAAGGAATAATCATGAATAAATTGTATTTTTATAAAGCATCCTTCTCACAGGATAGCATCGGAGTGCCACAAAGTGAGGAACAACGCAAGTCAGACAATATAAGCTTGCCTTTTTATCGTTTCCATAACTTGAAACAATGTATTTCATGGTGTTTAGAGAAATATGTAATGGCTACCATTTTTTACGCAGCTAAGTCAGTTGGGATGAATGATCAATTTTTAATCTGGAGTATTGTTAGCCAGAAAACCAGAAGAAACTACCTTCTCTTTTCAAATAGTGTTATGGAAACTTGAATGTCGATCTTAAAAACAAGCAATAAAGACATCTTAAGATTTCATGTGAAAGCTAGAATATCCAATAAAAGTAGTGCTCTCTATCATTCCACTGGAGTGTCAGCCTAGACTATATTCTAATGTCCCGACATAGAGCATAAATCCAGAACATCCAGCCCCAAAAATGAAATACCACCAACTGAGCAAAGCAAATACAAACTTGAACTCTTTTAAATGGTAGTGCCAAGGAAAAAGGACAACTCGCTAGTCCAGAGGACACAGCATTATATTGGATGGTTATTATGAAAAAACAAATACAGAGGAGTCACATTATAATGTAGTAATTTGAAGCCATGGTAAGTTTTTAGTATTAATGTGCGGAGAAAGGACAGGGACTTCACTTGTTTGTTGATATAAGCAGTAATGTCAACATAAATGGGTTCAAGATAAGTGAGTAAGATTGTATTAACTCTTGCATACTTAAGTCAATAAATTTTGTAGGCGCCTAATTCCCAGCTTGGGTCCAAAACCCCTGACTGTCCAGCACCCTGGGACATCTTTCCGACGTGAAGGGTGCTATACAAGTGTAATTTGTTGTTGCTGTTGTATTGAAGGAATTGCTTTACTATCACTTATCAACATTGTATTCTTAAATCAATTATTTTTAAAAAAGCTTACATAAGTTAACTTTTTTTGTAAATAAAGTAATGAAAATACATGTAAATAAATGAATTAGGAATTTTAATTAAAATGTATAACGTTTTAATAAAGACTCTTGGACTTCAACTTTCACAACAGCCATAATGTGGCAGTTGTGTTATTTATAAAAATAACAGGCCCTGTGTTATTTTTATATCATGAGTTTGCCTCAAGAGGAAATCCCACACCTGGAAATAAAATTAGTCATTTCGGAGTCAGATCTCCCACTGTCTCTACACAGGAGATCCAACTCCATGATTAAAAGAGGCAGCACCCCAGTCGTCAGACCCAATGATGTTGAATGTGTGCACTAATGATCCACATCAAGTATAAAGACAAATACAAAGATAGGAGCTCAATATAGCATGTTCCCTTTGAACTTTTAACATAAAGACAGAGCTCAAAGACATTCAAATTAAAGCTAATGACCTATAATCGTAAACAGAAATGGTTTTACTTAAGAAATTGAGTAATATAATAATAATCCTTGAATTTTATATAGTGCCTTTCACGTCTTCTCGACGTCCAAAGTGCTTCACAGAATATACTGTAAAGTGAATTGACTGCATTTTTTGTGGACGAAATATAATATAATTCTTCCATTTAAAGTTTTTCAGAGAAAGAGGTGATAGTTTGCCAATTCTTTTATATTTCATCTGACCAAATAGTGCTCCCTTTAATACCCTCAATTTAAAAAAAAACTTATTTTTAGAATCACATCAGAATTTGAAAAGCTTGCAGTCTCCAATTAGATTTTTAAATAAAATAATTTTGAGAAAAATCAGAACTAATTTAGACATATAATACATAATAACAGACTTAGTTTTGCAAGGGCAAGAATAGGCCATTAGGCTCACACGCTGTCCCTTTTTGATACTCTAGTTCTCAAAGATAGTTCAATTCCCTTTCACAAATCCGTCACTCCCTTCCCACAAAAAAATTTGTTTACTTTGAACCTCTTTATACCGTCTGCTTCAAACACCATTCCTGACAACTTATTCCACGAGATTATCTTTTGTGTAAAAAAAATCTGCCAGTGTACATTTAAATCCATTTTTCAGAAACCCTCCCCAGCTGTGCTCATTACCTTTGAACAGTTATAAAGATGACATGGCCTCCAATCTAGACATTCTCTCATCTCATAATACTTACTCATAGTGCTGTCTGGGAAATGAGAAAGTGCAGAGTAATCTGAACACTTACATATACTGTACCACAATAATTGATTTTTCACTGGAGCACTTTGTATACTAAATGGAAATGTAATAAGAGGAAATGGAAACTTTGCCTAATTCATCAGAAATAAACAAGACAATGGGAATTCCCAAGTTTAATATTGCACTTTTGAACACATTATTGAAAATAAGCAGTGCCTTGCCCTTTCCAATTTGCCAAGCAGTACAGTGCTGAGCACAGACATTCATGAAATAATTGTGTTCACTTAACCAAGGTTAGGAGCTAAAGTCAGCACTCTGAGTATGTAATGCTGCATGTGTGCATTTCTATTAGAAGGGGGATATTTTGTGAGCGCCTCTTTTACCAGTAGCAGGCAACATATGATACAGGTAGTGTAGTGGTTTCAAGAGAGAGAAGACAGACACAATTTCATTTCACCCACCCGAGGACTTCCCCCCACCCCCACCAACAAGTACATAAAATAAGTGCTTCAAGGACATTCTGATCCCAATGCTGCATGTATTGATGCAAATTGGGATATGCTTGTGGTAGGCGAATCAAAATGTCATTTGATGCAACACTATGACAAACAACCCTACAATGCAAAACAATTGCCAGTACAGGCAATCTCATTATAATGTGTTCCTCTGGATCCAATAGCTCAGCGCTGTGTTATAAACAAAGCCTGAAAGGTTATTTTCAAGAAAGGTAATGAAAGCAACTCAGGAAACTACAGAGCAGTGTTTGACGTCCATTGTAGGTAAAATTATGGAGACTTATTAACGATAAAATCATAGAGCACTTGGATAGAAATAAAATCATAAATGATAGCCACAATGAATTCATGAGGGGGAGGTTTTGCCAATCTAATTTACTGGTTTTCTTTGATGGTGTGACAAGGGAGCTTGATAAGGATATGGCTGTTGTATATCTGGATTTCTGTAAGGCCTTTGATATAGTTCCTCCTGAGAGGCTGGTACTAAAAGTAAAGAAAGCGGATATCAGTGGAAGTATATTACAGTGGATACGTAACTGATTGACCAGAAGAACCCAGAGGGTGGTGATGCAGGGAATGTTATTAGACTGGGAAAGTGTTACCAGTGGAGTTCCACAAGAGTCTGTTTGGGACATCTTTTGATTAATATTTTTATAAATGATCATGACAGGCTGTTTCAACTAGTCCAGAATAGTAAAACCAGAGGACACAGCCTGTGACTGAAGGGGGGTAAAGTCAGAACAAATCTATGGAAACACTATTTCAGTGAGCGAATGGTAAACATGTGGAATAGGCTCCCTCAGGAGATGGTCGGAGCAGGAAATGTTGATTCCTTCAACCTCAGATTAGAGTTTTCTTTCAAGAAATAATATTATGAGATATATTATATAGGTAGTTCGGGACATATGTGCATGCGACCATCAGGAAAGTGGAAGGCGAACTGGCTGGACCTTGGCCTTTATTCATGTAGCATCTTATAAAAATGGACGAGTTACAGGTTGCCAGAAAGTACCACCGACATGACTTCCTTTGCAAAGGATATCACAGTTGCTTCCTGTGCATAGCATGTGTCCAGCATGTAAGAAGGCACAGACACTTTCTGCATAGTTGTGTTGAGCCCTGAAAGCCAGGTGTACCATACTTCTAGCTAACGCAGGTCTATTATGGACCTGCACTAAAAGTGAGGCAATGTCCATTGAGTGGAAGTGTCAAGGGGTTTCCTTGTAATGTATGTTATGGAAACAGTCAACAGTAATAATCAGTGATCCTATTAGAGAAATTATTTATGTATACTATAGGATGCCCTGTGAATTACAATACAAATTTACATTTATGTAGCTCCTTTCATGTCAGGACATCCCATTTGCTGGACAGTCCAAGTTATGAACCTGAGCTGGGGTGAATAGCTAAAAGATGGACTCCCCAAGTCTTAATGTGCATAGGAATTGAGAAACACATGAAATGAGACTGCTGAAGTCATTTTGAAGATCAAAGGAAAACAAAGATACAGTACAAGATAAGCAGCCCTGAAACCCACTTAAAGCTACAATTAATTCAGAAGCGCTGAGCATAGCTTTGTGTTTACAGGGTTTAAAAATAATTAAAATCTAGCAAATAGCATTCATATTTTCCCACTCATTTTTATGGTATAAATAGAATAAGCATTAGAAAGGCACTGAACACCAGAAATTAAACTCAAGAGCTTGATGACCTACATGGGTCTCAACTCTTCATGTATTTGAATCATTTATTCAATATTCATAGTCTTCAACATCAACCAGCAGATATCAGTTTGCAAATTCCTGTAAAATAGGCAGACAGACCGGTTGTAAATAGATAACTGCATTGTATGATGAGCACAAAATACTCTCTTATTCAGCATGATTCATGCACAGCAGGATTGCTCGAGGATGCCATTTAGTAATGGCAGATAAATGGTAAAATAGTAATCAACTTTGTTACTATTTAAAGGATTTTTAAGCATTCAAACATAAAGACAAACTGTCATTCCCATTTTAGAAAAGACAGGCTGCAGCAGTTATATTAGTCAGCTCCTCAGTTTCCAACGATTTGCTGGACAGAATATGTTGACCTAGATAAACCACGACTTTAAAATGAACAACTTTATGAGAATTTATCAAAAGAACAGTTTAGTAGTATTATTCGTAGAAGAGGGTAAACAATTTTATGGAACATTAAATAGCGAAACAGTAATTTGCTCCATAAGACATTTTATTTTTGGAATAAACAGATAGAAAGCTATTTAAAGAGCCCATTTTAAAGATCTATTTTCTGAAGGAGGAAGTCACGCTCAAGGGGATCCCCATGGAGTACACCTGTTTTTCTCAGTGCTGATGTCAATGATTTTCACCCATTTCTAGACCAACTGGATAGAAACTCATTCTTTTTCAACCAAATCTCTGCTCACAATGCAATAAGTAAGTAAAAAAGTTTTTTTTTTTAAACAAAGAGTTGCCAACAGTTCACTTAAGTATTTCACAAAGGAGTACTAGATGAAAAATCAAGCTTTTTTTTTAATAAAAATAAAACTTCGACTTGTCAGCAAATGTCAACAAGTAACTTTCAGACAATATCAAATCAGGTCTTGGTGTTCATGAAATTTATCAAAATTGAAAACAGAATTACAGTCTTTAAAAAACACTGTCAAATACAAGCCTATATGCTGAATAGGTTACTATTTTTGCTGCTGTTCAGCGGGAGTGAAAATTCTATCAGTGAAACAAGGTGTGAGATGACATAACATCACTGTGTTAACCTGGTAACACTGTCACTTCTGAGTCAGAAGATTGTGGGTTCAATTGGTTCTGGAATACTAGTTAACCTCACATTAGCCACCTGCCCGCAAACTTTATTGATATGATCATTTTTTAGGACAAAATATGTGAGACAAGTAGTTATGTCAAGCTGGAAAACCACAAACCATCAACTTAATGCACATATAGAGAGGCACATTCAGTTTTAAAATTTGTGATGTTCTGCTTTTTGTGCCCAGAAGATCCTTGAAAACTAACAAGTAGATAAGTCTTTTCATTGGCCTGTATAAGTGGCCTGTATAAGTTTTGCCTAAAACAGAAAAGAACACTGCTTTCATCACTGATGACATTCCGATTTCTATTTATACAGTCTTTGGAAGCAATTGAGGAAACCACCTATTTACATGAACTTCAGGGCTCCAGTGGCGCTGCTTTGTTTTACCTCAATGTCTGTCAAAATGTAAACGTCAAGGCTGTATCAATAACACAAGAGTAAATTGATCAAATATTACAATTAGAGATTGCAAATATTAGAGAGTGGAAACAATAGAATAACAGATGAAGGCAATCAGTTATTAATTTGTGTGCTAAGACTAAATTTATGCTCCTTCTGCTGAAGACAATGCTGTGTACCCCAATACATATTCAACTTCCCGGACTTCTAACACAGTGCAGACTCGTTGTAAAGTGGTGTTTGGGATCCATAAAATCCCAACCGGTATTATAGCGAGGCAAGATAGCGAATTTAATTGCACATGTATGTAACCTGCTAGCACATGCTAAAAGAAAAAAGGCTAGCTACTGGGTTGGTGGTCACTACAACATCACTTCTCATTTACTGCGCTTGAACAAACCATGTTGTTGTACATTGGTGGTGACCTGTGGACATAAAGTTCTGCCTTTTTTTTTAAGCGTGAAAAGATAAAATGACTAATGAACTGGAAGTCAGCCAATTTAATGCATAAACCCAGGAAACGAGTTGGCTAGCTGCACACATGCACAATGAACAGGGCAACTGCATTACAAGAACATTTGTGCCAGAGAGAAGTGAAATATAGCAGGGCTACACTATAATAGGACTTAATTATTCTAACAAGGTGAGATTTTTTTTTAAAAAAAGTTAACTATACAACAAAACTAAAGACTTCTGCTGATTGCCATACCTTTGTGCCAGGTCTCTCCATATTCACCACCACCTCTGATATTAGCGACAGCCAAAACGCCCCCCAGATGTCTCACAAAAATAAGTCTTGAAACACTGCAATTAATAAAATATATTGTTTAATTTTGTAGGCATTTGTTATATTATGTTCTATATTATTATTAATTTAGAAAGGCACACAACCAACACAAAAACAGTCAATAGGCAATACGTCAGCTTTTGAAAACTTTTCAACATCGACAAAACTGAGGCTATTCATCTCGGCCCCACCAGCACCTCCTCAGCTCAAGGGCTGACTGATTACACACTCTAACTAATAAAGCCTGTGTGTAATCTTAGTGTTTTGTTCAACCCCCAACTCTCTCTTAAACCTTTAATCCGGGCTCTGACCAGGTTTGCTTTATTCCACCTCCACAACACGCGCGCCTCCATCACGATTTCAACCCTCATGCAGCTGAAGCTTTCATCCATGCCTTTCTCCTGTGCAGACTCAACCTTTCCTTACTTTCTGGCCTCCCCACCTTCATCCTATACAACTGCAAATAGATGTTTTTGGTGTCTGTGTTAAAAATTAAAGCAGTGGAAGAGAATGTAGCTGACACCAGTTTCTTTGTTGTTATGTTTATTATTTCTTTCAAATAGAAACCACTAATAGAACATTTATCCCTTTGGTGGAAATCTTGCTGATACAAATATATACTAAGCAATTCATTTTATAGGTTTTATGCTAATGGTTCTCAAAGCAAATATAAAATATCTATAAAACAATTCAGTTTACCAAAAAGTAAAGGCTTTCCTGGATTCTCGTTTTGATAATGTGACATTAAGAGCTTTTTTTCTGGAGATGTAACTGATGGCTCTTGCATTCAATTATCATCAGAAATGTCACCCAAATTCAAAGCACATAGAATCTTAACACTATGTGCTTCACATCTTTGAAGACCCAAGTATACATTACAGAACACAGCTCTATGATTAACTATAAGATCAATGTTTGTGTGAATTAAGTAAACCTATGAATGGATTCCCATTTTATATTAATAGCTCAAAGAAATAGCACTCAAAATGACAATTTGAATTGAAAATAAATATGGATATAGTAAGAATTAGAAGCCATTTTGCACTTTAGCAATTTATGTAAATATCTGGCTTTACTACATTAACTTGCTTTGTTAAAAAAAGTTGGTTACAAACATAGTAAATTTAAAGTTAATAGTTGCAAAAACGCAAGATGGACTTGCTCACTTTCAAATTCTTGTTGATTCAACCAATTGTGTCATATAACTTTTCACTCGTTTATATTGTTTTGTTCATAGCACAAATAAATTTTGAATTATCAATCTAAACCATATCTAAGTTGAATGGAGTGTCACTTTTTTTAAAAATAAGCAAGTCAGTAGTGGAGAATACAGTTAATGTTATGACACTCATAACATAGCAAAGAGAACATAGCAAAGTTTATTAAATGGACTTACATGAAAGGCTCTATATCAAATGTAAGGATTATTATTTCATAAATAATTTGAAATAGCAAACATGGAAAAAATGTGAAAGTATTCTGGAAAGCAGCAAATCGATTTGCAAAGAAAGATTGGCTGAAGATTAAACTCAGCCTTTGGTCTGTGTTTTTATTATTTTGGCTCATTTTCAATTCAAGACACGGCATGGCAAACATTCATTATTGCTCATAAATGGATTTTGTATTAATTGCTGAACCATACAATTCAAGGTGTTGATCCACCTAGAGGACTCTTATATGATGGTTGAAACTATTACACCTTAGATTGTTGTCAAATATGGGGAAGTCTCCCTGGCTAACTGTTTGTGTATTTTGTGCGCAAGCATTGCAAAGATGAAATAAACAATATTACAGTGATAAAGGTAACAAAGATCTCCCAGGTGGGCCAACAGTATTTCAAGGCATTGTTGATGACAGGCCATTGGTGGCTCATCAGCAGAATTTGTGGGGGTGGGGGGGGTTGACTACGCAAACTCCCTGCGGGTTGGACTCCCCAACTCTTCCCTCCGCAAGTTGCAGATTATCCAGAACTCTGCAGCTTGTCTCCTCTCCCGTACCAAGCTCTGTGAACCAATCTCTTGTATCCTTGCCCGGCTCCACTGGCTCAGAAAATAAAGTTTAAAATCCTCATCCTCACTTTTAAAACCCTCTACGGTCGTCCTCCTCTGCGACCTCTTAACACCATACAGCCTTCCCACTGCCTTCTACTCCCTCTGTTAGGCGGGCACTGCGTGCTCCATGTTCCCCAGCCTTCCCGTCCCACCATTGGCAGTCGGGCCTTCAGCTTTTTTGCCCCCATACTTTGAAATTCCATCCCCGAATCCCTCTGCCTCGCCCTCGCCTGCTTCAAGACCTCTCTCATTGAATGTGCCTTTGGCTATACTCCCTCCCCCCAAGTCTTGGTTCAAACCTCCAGCTGGGGTGCAAACCCTTAGCTGTCCAATGCCTTGGGATATCCTTCCGACATGAAAGGGGCTAAAGAAATGTCATTTGTTATTGTTGGGGGTAGGGATTCTTCCCATTCAGCTCCTGACGTGAAAGGCTCTATACAAATGTAATTTGTTGTTAACTCAGAGAGGATCGATTTCAAGATCCTCACCCTTGTTTTCAAATCCCTCCACTCCTCTGCACCCCCCTATCTCTCTGACCTCCTCTCTCCTCAAAACAGCACCCATTGTCTTGGATCCTCCGGGTCTGTCTTCCTCCTCGTCCCCCAAGTCCTCCGCTCCACCCTCGGCGGCCGTGCCTTCAGCCACTATACCCTGAGGTTCTGGAATTCCCTTCCTCACTCCCTTCGCCTAATCCCCTCTCTTCCTACTTTCAGGTCCCTTCTGAAGACCTTTCTTTTCGACTGCACCTTTGGTCACCTTCCTCCCCATTCCCCTGGCTCGGCCCCGGGATTCGTTACTGTGAAGCGCTCTGAGACGCCATCAGGTGTGGAGGGCGCTATATAAATCCAAGTTGTTGTTGTTAACTGGTAGGTTGGTCCTTGCGGGACAAGCAAAAAGGAAACTTGCCACAACGCTGTTAATAGCAAGCTAAAATGATTAGCAGGTTAAAATCCAGTAGTAGTCCAATGGCCACTTTGCGGGGCCACAAGAATGGCATCTTGCCAATTGCATCTAATATTTTCCAGAATTAGATAAGCAGGCGCTTCCCTCCAGAGAAACAATATGCCCACCATTCCAGACAAAGAAATTTGCATCCAGAAGTGGCACACATGCTTAGAACTCTGTGTGGTTTGGATATCCTTAAGCTGGTCACATGTTTGAGTGTTAAGACACCTGGGTGACCAAAAAATGTTCAAAGTTGTTGTTGAAATTTATTGAGATGGCATCATTGTTTTAAACTCCTATATATCTATTACAAACTTTTTGCCATCTGCCCCCAGCTTAGGCTTGCAGTAAGCTATGAGATGCACTTTGAGACATCCTCCTGATTTGAGAAGAGGTATATAAATGTAAATTGGCACTGTTGTTGAATATAATGTGTCATTTAAAACCATAATTTTACCTTCAAGTAACATTTTAATATGTGGTACAAAGGAATATATTACAAAGATCTTTTGGAAATAATTTACAACCTGGTAGCAATGTTAAGCACAGCCATCACTTGTGAGTTATTAAGTCGGCTCACTTATAAGAAATAAATTATGTTCCAGAGTGTTTTCATGACAGAACAGTTAGACTACAAAATGTAATTGCAGTAGTTATCATCAATCTCAGAGTAGGAATTTAACTCTACACAGTACTTCCAAGTTCACATCACTTACAGTAATAGTGCAAATGGAATGAGCAAAAATGTTTTTAAAAAGCTCTCAGGTGGTCTGCAGTCTACCTATGTATTTTAATGCAAGAAAGAACCAGCAAAACAGGCTGATTTTCTCTAACCTTCATCTTTTTTTAAAGATCATTGGCATTCAACAGCAACAATTTACACTTTATTAGTTATTCCATAATTTGCCATATATTAACTTAGAAATTCATCAATAATAGGGAAATCAAAGGAGAATAAATATTTAAAACAATCTACAATTAAAAAAAGCTCTCAAACATGTTGCATATCCAGCTATTAGTGATCTGAATGAAAGAATACCAATTGCACAAACTGTACAAAGATAATCGATTCTACTAAGCAATGGTTATTTATTCCCAAAACATGATTTAACTGCAGTCAGAAATTTTATTCTGAATAATAATTCTTGTACTTCTGACCTTTTCAAGCAACTGTTATATTGTTTCATAGGTTAATACATGACTGGAAAAGATCCAAAACTGAATACAGGATACTTAGCATAAACTAAGGACTACATTTCACTGAAATAAGCATTTTCGGAAAACTAAGCAAATGGGGATTAAGTTTATCAAGGGGAAAGAGTCATATTCTCCTTCCCAGCACTGAAGTTTTGTGCATAGCAGTTGTCGTTCAGAATATCTTTAGTAGTAAAGGTCATTTTGCCATTTATTTAATAAGATACATTGTGACATGCTTAGGCATGAGTAATTATTTTCACTAAACACCAGAGTGAAACATTTTTCACATTTCAGTTTTTAAAGTAGCTTTTGATTCATTCTGCCTTCTATATTACTTTAACAAATATGCTAATATCTTAGGTGGTGTGCTTAATCACATGGCCGAGCTATAAAAAGATTACTCTATAGAGTTTTGAATTGTGCAATCTAAAGGTGACATTGTCTTTCTGAACAAGTTATGCCTGGAAATGAAGCAATAAAAAAAAGCTCAGGGGCAAAATGTAACCTTTCCCCCTTACTAGTGGTTTATCATGAAGCAGTTTTTAGCAATTGTGATCAAAGTTGCTTTTAGTTTAGTTGTGACTTGTAGTTAGTTGATTGTTATTTGTCTGCCCCACTTAAGATGATTCGGCATTATCAACCATTGATGGAGGAATTTTAAAAAGGCATTTAGAAAATCAGTAAGAATGACTTGAACAGATTCTTGAAAGCAACTAATGGTATTCAGAAGCAATGATTACCATCTCAACAAAAACGTGATGGATTCCACTAAACTTTTATAGAAATAGGTCAGGGATGAAATGTTAGCATTACAAGGAAAACATAGAAGATAATTCTTGTGCAAAGTACAATGGAGGTTAAAAATCACTTTAAAAAAATGAAAACCAATGGACTACAAAATGTTAATTAAAATTTCTTTTGTGGAATTTTGTAGTCATCAGGGATGAAAAGAATGGAACACAATTTTTTCTGAGAAATCATGAGTGGTACAGAATCTAAACAGCAGGCATGATCCTGGGAATTAATGGCATCAATAATAAGGAGTAACAATCAAGCCTATTGTAAATGATGAAAATGCCCAAATACCGTACATTATTTCAGGCTCTGCTCAAATTTAATAATAATAAATTGGTCATTTCAATCCCCAACTGTTTGTGTGTGACACTGTTGTGCACGATTGGCTGCCACATTTTGCTCAAAAATATACCGTCAATATACTTTACAGTGTATTCTGTAAAGGGCTTTGAGACGTCTAGAAAAGGCGATAAGGCACCATATCAAATGAAAGGATTATTATTACATAATTGAAATTCTATGAGGATGCAATAAAGGATTTTAATGAGTCATATGATAAGCTACCTCAATGATTTATTATAAATGAAAGCTCTTCACATAAATCAGGAAATAATAAACTGACCACAGTTTATACAGAGGAACCCCAGTTATAGTGCCTTTGTTGTATCAATTCAGTTGTATTAATTCACATGAACACGTGATCAAAGATATACTTTCTAACGTTTCCCAGAATCAGAAAACGAATCCAGAAACATTCTAGGCATCAAATAGAGTACTCTATTTATCTTCTCAGTTCACAATTGATGATCTGATATTATTCATCAACATATCTACCATTTGAGGATTTAACACCGCTTTGCTATGAAATATCAAGCCAAACCGGAAAAATATTTGAAATTTTTTAAAAAATTCTCTAATTTCTATTGAATGGACACACTTTCATCAACTTGCAAAAAAAATTTCCACTGATAAACAATGCCACAGGAGATATACAAGACAATGTTCTGCTGAAGCTTTTTTTACTCAGTTTTACAGCATTTCTACGTCCCTGCCCGGCCCACCCCACCATCGGTGGTCAGGCATGAGCCCCTCTGCCCCTACCCTTTGGAACTCCATCCCACAATCCCTTTGCCTCACTCTCTCCCTTGCCTCTTTCAAGGCACGTCTCAAGACCCTCCTCTTCAACTGCGCCCTCTTACCCTCCCTGATCCAAACCCCTGTGACTTGGGACATTCTCCCGAAGTGAAAGGCGCTATACAAATGCAATTTTGTATTGTATCTGTATAAAGCGAAAGACTAGTACATACCTGTAACTTGGTGTGATGGATATATTGAAGCCACCATATCCATAAAGGAAAGCAGGGTGAGAGTTATCAAATTTGATTCCTTTCTTATGAACAATGAACATTGGTACCTTAGTTCCATCTCTACTTGGATAGAAGACCTGTGCAGAAACATAAGGATTATAATTTGAAATGTAACCATAATATGTAATGACGTTATTAATCAGATTTGTTCAAAGATTTTTGAAGGAAAGGTCCTAAGATTAAAGAGTCTGACACTACAAGAATAGGCTTTGTAAACAACTCCAGAAAACGAATTGATTAGGCTGTAAATATCTACTGCCACTTGAGCTTTGGTAATCATTTAGTAATATACACAACTATGAATATTTTCTACATGACTGAAGAAACTGATCAGAATGCTGTATTGGAATTGAAATATCTTAATTTAATTGCTAAACAGGCATCAACAAAGTACTTAAAAGTTAGTCCTGAAATTTTGACACAGGATACAAATGCTTGAAGACACAATGAGAAACAAAAAGTGTTGTGCAATTCTGTAGCGTATAAGTGCCTTATAACATACTGGTTAGAGCACTCGACTCGCAAGGAAGAGGTCCTGAATTTGATTTCCAGGCAGGGCAAAACTTTAGGCAAGTTTCCTTACTCAACACACCTCGATCTACCTAGCAACAAGTCAGAATCTGGTTGTTTCTGGGTTAATAATCCCTTCAAAAGTAATAATTATTTGGTCACTCAATGCACGACTGTTTGTGGGACACTGCTGTGGGCAATTGACTTCTGCTTTTCGCCTGCAAAATATACAGGCAATTCACGTTACAGTATATTCTGTGAAGCGCTTTGAGACGTCTTGAAGATGTGATAAGACACTATATTAAATGCAAGGATTATTATTATTAAGCAACAACTCAAACACCTTTCACAAACAGCTTATAAAGGGCCTAAAAAGAAACTTCCACTACATAATAAAATCGTAAAATCTTAACAAGTTATAGCACAGAATTTGTTTCAGCAAACTCGCACTGGTGTTTGTTCCTCCATCTAAGCCTTGTAATATTTTCATTCTCCTCATTAGCATGATTTATGGACACTACTTCATCCAAGATTTGTGGCAGAGAATTCCAATAACCATCTGTGTAAAGATTATTTTTAAACCTCTTTTATTTATGAGATCTTAAACTTGTGTATTTTTTGCTAAGTTGCCAACCAGTGCAAAACAAACTACAGTATTACAATTTATCCTATAACCTTGAAGACTATACGGTCACCTTTACCTCTGGTGAAAAAAAACTAACTTCCCCTTATAATTCAAAACTCATCTCTAGTGATTTTTAGGAAATCTATGCATTTTTGATACAGTATAATGTTTTTACAATTAGGTGCCCCACTAGTTGAAGTGCAAGTTGCACATTGCTTTTTCTGAATATGAAACTAAGGATTATATTCACCTTTTTGTAAATAGCCTTATCCACTTAAGCTGCCATCTTTAATAATGTGTCTGAGCACCAACATTTTTCTGCTCTTCCACTTTATTTAAAACTGAAACAATGGCTAAATGATCTTACCTTTTGAACAAGGATTTTTTTTTAAGGTTGTACAAGTTACCATTGTTTGCTCTGATATAGATAGCACAGTTACATTTACTAATGTCTTCCCATATGGATAATCCTTGCATTTGACTTAGTTCCTTTCAAATCAAGATGTCCCAAAGCGTTTCACTGGATTTACTAAAAAGTGTAGTAACTGTGAATTTTGTAAGCAAACAGGGTTCCCATCCCACTCAAATACATAATATATCTGTGAATGTGAGTGGTGCTTGGATATTTTCAGGGTGAAAATGTCCTCAGTCATCCTCAAACCTATTACATGTAGTTTCCAAGGTTCCAACCATTTTAATTCATTCCTTTCTCATTTCTTTGCCTTCAGGTATCATTAAAAAAATCTTACCGTACAGAAACAAATCAAACATCTCGGAACACTTATTTGTGGTGGATTGGTAAACATTGCTAAATAGAGGCTTTTGATTCTTAATTGAATTCAGGCAAGCCCATTTATAATGCAACAGTTAAATTGATACACTGCAAAGAATCAATCACAAACTCAGCATTAGCAAATATATTTCATTAGATTTAAATATATCATGTTTGAATAAAAACTAACCAGTTACATTTGCCTAGTTATTTTATTTTTAATGGTTATATTATTGAGTCACCTGCAGCATAAAACAATTATAAGATGTCTGAAATCTGCAAGATGAATTCAAGACACTAAAATCCCCTGTCATTGAAAAACATTGATGGCAATTTCAACAATTAATTCATTGACACTTTGCCTTTGACACCATCTCTTAGGAATGTTCAGCAGCTCTCCAGTTTTTCCAGTACAACTGATAACACTGACTGCTGTCTGGGAGATTAAAGACAGCTGATGAAAAACAGCCTCAAGAAGAAAAGAATATCGAGTACTACTCAACTACTACACAAAGAGCTAATTTTAGAATCATTAAGAGAACCTTCAGAAGTGTAGGTTCATAAAAGGGTGTTGTTGCTCTTCATATATCAGAGTTGCTTCAAGGTGGCATTGATATGTTTGTACCAGTAATCTTACCACTGAAAATAAATGGATTCTTCAGATCCAGAGTTGCGTACAAGAATCAAGTGGACATAATCTTGTACAAAGTGGTAAAGATAAGTAAATGCCATATTGAATTTAATTATGTCATCAATTTTCTTGCTTGCAAGTTAAAGCAAAAGCAGTAACATGTCTAAAATTGTTATAAAGTGAGTTTGTACAAATACAGAACATGGAAACATTGAAGAAACTGCCAGCAAAGAATTTCTATAGCCTCTTCCCACGAAATGAATAATCCAACTCAATGTTTAAAATATATTTGTTTCTTCATAGAATGTATGAGCAACCCATCTTTAATGACTGCTGTGACTGGTAGTCATGGTAACAAAGAAAGCAACACAGCAGCAGTTGACATTATAATAATAATCCTTGCATTTGATATAGCGCTTTTCACGTCTTCTAGACGTCTCAAAGCGCTTCACAGAATATGCTGTAAAGTGAATTGACTGTAATATTTGTGAGCGAAATGTGGCAGCCAATTGCGCACAGCAGTGTCCCACAAACGTCGAGGATTGAGAATGACCAATTTATTATTGTTTTGTTTTGGAGGGATTATTATTAGGCGAGTGGAGTAAGGAAACTTGCCCAAGGTTTCGCCCTGCCTAGTTATTTGATGATTAATGTGGTGAACAAAAAAAAATCAATAGTAAGGTCATGGAGCAAAGCTTAGAAGGTGAGCACACAGTTCAGATTTAATTTTCAGAATGTGATAAATATTTGGAAAAGACAAACCAGAGAATTGGTGCAATGGGATTATGTCAACAAGTGTAAGAGAGTCAAATAGCAATTTAGTGACCAATTCAATAAAGGGAAGAGTAAGTTTTTTTTAAAATATATTATTAAAATTTACAGTGGATCCATCCAAACGGACCTTAATGAGTTTTCTCCGGTCTTATTATTTCTGACAGCATCACCATCCATGGTTTCACACTCCACCTTGCTAAGCCGGAAACCTTGGGGTCTTGTTTGACCCTCAACTATCCTTTCTACCCCACATCTGCATCATGATCTAACATGCTCTGCCTTCCCCCACCTCTGCAACGTCGCCTGGCTCCGACACTGTTTCACACCGCAGGTGGCCGAAACCCTCATACATGCCTTCATTACATCGAGGCTCGACTATGCAAACTCACTGCTTGTCGGCCTCGTCAACTCCTCCTTCCACAGGCTGCAGATCATTCAGCTCTGCAGTCCGTGTCCTCTCCCGCACTAGACTCTGCAACCCTATCACCCCTATCCCTATCCAACTCTACTGGCTTCCCATCACACAGAGGATACAGTTCAAGATCCTGGTCCTCACCTTCAAAGCCATCCACGGTCTTGCTCTCCCCTCCCTCTCTGACCTTCTAACCCCCTACCACCTGTTCGCTACCACTCTGCACCCACCCTCTGGAACTCCATCCTGCAGTCCCTGTGTCTCGCCCCCTCCCTCGCTACCTTCAAGACCCACCTCAAGACCCTCCTCTTTGACCGTGCTTGCCCCCTGCCCTCCACCCTCACCCACCCCGACCCTCAGCTTGGGTCCGTAATTCTGTCTCTCCAGCGCCTTGGGTTGGGATCTCCTCCCAATGTCATTTTGTTGTTGTTGTTCCCCAGTATATTACTTCATTTCCCAGACACAGGAGAGGAGACACAAGTGAATTTCTACTAAAGATCTGCTTTATGTTTCCCACCTGATCTGGAACTCCATCCCAGAGTCCCTCTGCCTCATCCCGCTCTCTACCCACCTTTAAACCTTGCCTTAAGATCTCGCTCTTCAACCTTATTTTCAGTCATCATGCCCTCCCAGCCACACTCGGGAATCTAATCAGCTCTGTGAAATGCTTTGAGGTATCCTCTTTACAGGAAAATTGTTGTTCGATAGATGTCAGAGCAGCAGAGATATAAATGGGTATGGCAAAAGCATTGGGATTAAAAGATCTGCCAAGATCTAATAAACTGATGGAACAGGCTCATTGGGCTGAATAGCATCTTCCTGTTCCTGTTTTCTTATGTGAAGAAAAACTTTTGGGTAACTGGTAGCTGTTTTTCCCTTTTCTAAGCTTGGGAAGGTAGGAAGCAATTTACCCTGCCCTTGCAGCCCAAGCTGAGACCAGCAAGCTCAACATGGACTGGAGAAGGGAAAATCAGCCAGTAGTCCTGTACTGGTTGGTTATGAGCTTATGTGGCAACTGGATGGGGAGGGGTGAAATTCAGCTTTGGCTCTCTCCAGTCAAGTAAGCTCCTAATCTGTAACTCTATCCGTTTTAAAACATGCTATTGGGACAGTCCTGATCATTTAGTGAGCATGGTCCAAATTAAGTGCCATCAGTATTCAATTAACCAATTGAGTAATTGCCATACATATATATATTGTTTAATAAAAATGAAATGTAAATTAGTTACCTGAATAGTCTGGTAATCAGATGGATCAAATCCCTTCACGGTCACTTCTCTAAAAACACTTGGCTTCAATGCTTCTTTGGTCATATCACAGTGATAAATAATACCTGGAAGACAAGCCATAAGAGATATAAATTTATTGATAAGAATCTGTTACGAGTTTCAAAACAACAAAGACCTTATGCAAAAAATTAAACTGGGGAAAGAAAATTCCACTAGTAACCACATAATGGAATCAAAAAACTCTACCTTTGATAGTTCTTCGACTCCAGGACCATTGCTGTCCTGAAGGAATGTCTGCAAGACATCAAGTCCTGGATGAGAGCTAACTTTCTACAGTTGATCATCAACAAAACTCTCCTGATTGGCTCCCGTCAGGGCCTCCACACCTCAGGCACTGACAGCATCACCATCCACTCCACTCACTGAGCCAGTCCGGAACCTTGGCGTCTTCTTCCTTTCCCACAAGTATGCCAAGACCTGCTCTGCCTTGCCCCACCACTGTAACATTGCCCAACTCCGCCACTGCCTCACCCCTCAGGCCACCAAAACCCTCATTCACGCGTTCATCACATCTAGGCTCGACTACGCCAACCCTGCTTGTCGGCCTTCCCAACTCTTCCCTCCACAAGCTGCAGATTTTCCAGAACTCTGCAGCTCATGTCCTCTCCCACACCAGGCTCCATGACCCCATCACCCCCAACCTCGCCTGGCTCCACATCCCCCACAGGATATGTTCAAAATTCTCGTCCTCGCCTTCAAGGCCCCCCACCTTGGCGGTCGAGCCTTCAGCCTCTTTGCTCACACCCTTTGGAACTCCCACATCACTTCGCCTTGCTCCCTCGTCTCCTTCAAGGTACATCTCTAGACCCTCCACGTCTACCACACCTTCGGCCATCTCCTACCCTCCACTCTCTCTGATCCGAACCACCCCCTGCCCGTGTCCAAATCCCTGACTGTGCAGCGTCTGGGTACGTCCTCCCGACATAAAAAGTGCTATACAAATGTAATTTTGTATTGTATTCTTCTTGCCTTTCAAATTTCACGTCCTACTCATGCTAACCAAAATTTAATTTTCAGTTGTGCTTTTCATGATCTTATTGCAGATTATAAAGAAAGCTTATATGCAAAATTATTCTGCACAGCCCTTTGGGTATTTAGGAGGTTAATCCTGGGGATTACTGAAGTGGAAACAAGCGTAGATTTGAGAGGTGGCGAGACTTCACTAGACACATCTGGAATTTTATTCACCTGCAGTTTCATGGGATATTATATTGAAAGAGAGGGTGGTCCAATAGCACTCAGGATATCAGTGACTTTCCAATAAAATGTACCAAGTCAGCTACTTAAACATAAAGAATGAATGTGTCATGAGGCAAGGACTCCACGGTCTTACCCCACCCTACCTCTGCGACCACCTCAAATCCTGCTGACTCAGCTGCTCCCTTTGCTCAGCGTGAACTGACCTGCTTCATGTCCCACACTCTATCGTCAGTGGGCAGGTTTTCAGCCCCCACTCTCTGGAATGCCATCCCCAAATCCTCCGAATTCCTCCTTTCCTTATCTCATTCAAGGTCAGTCATACCTCTTCGACCTAATTTTCAGGAATCTTTCCCCTCCCAACCCCCTCAGCTTCCACCCATAGTCAAAGTATCTAGCATTGTTAAGTGCCTTTGTGTAGCCCCATGACACGAGAAGAGCTATATAAATGCAAATATGTATTGTAAAGACGGAGCTTTCATTTGCTCCTCAAAGGCATGCAGAAGTAATACATAACAAGCAATGACAGCAGCAATTGAAGTCACTAAGACTCCAACTTGTTTTTGGCTAGAACTTTCCACATACTGTTGGGGAAACTGCATCAGTGAGCCAAGTGTTCTAAGCTGCATCAAGTACATTAATGATACTCTCTCAAAATAGACCTCAGTACATTGCAGAATGGGATGTTTAAACAAACACACACACAACTACAGAACAGGAATATGTATATTTTCATTTGGAGTTCTATAGCTCAGTGGTTAGAGCAATCGCCTTGCAAGCGAGACACCTGCATTCAATTCCAGGCAGGGTGAAACCTTGGGCAAGTTTCCTTACTCCACACGCCTAATAATAATCCCTCCAAAAACAACCAAAAAAAATGGTCATTTTCAATCCACGACTTTTGTGGGACACTGGCAATTTGCTGTTGCATTTCGACCAAAATATACGGTCAATTTACTTTACAGCATATTCTGTGAAGAGCTTTGAGATGTCTAGAAGATGTGAAAAGCGCTATATCAAATCCAAGGATTATTATTATTATTATTTACAATAAGTAAGTTAATTTCAAGGATCCTTAGCAAGCTGACCCACTTTATAATGCTGGTTACAAAAATGGGAAAAAAAATATTATGTATGTACATTACATTTATTTTGGTAATCTACAAAGAGATAAAAATCTATCAGCTACATGATAAAAAGATGTTCTGCAATCCATTTTTGTCATCCAATAAAAATTGTATTAAGGGCTACTGATAAATGGAGCATAAATGGTGTCTTGTATGGAGAAAGATATCTTGGGATGTAAAGTGTGCATCCTACAAAGAACGTTTCACACTAACCGACAAGAATCTTACTTTCACCAAGTCCTCATGAAAACGTGATATACAAGTGAAGAATGATATGTCTCTAGGTGCCTTTTCATGTGCATTTCTTTCATCAGTTCCACTGCCACTTTCCTGATGAGTGCTTTTCCAACCCCACCATCAGATATACTGCATTCAATCTAAAGCTGATCCCGCAAGAACTTTCATTTCCAATTCTGATTGAACAAAATGCCAAAACCCTTGTGAAATTGAAACATTCTTTAAACTGGAAATGTGACCAATGCTCACAAAAGTATCCCTCACAAAAGGCATTGACAGAGAAGGTTAGGTGAATCTTTTTTTAAAAAAGAAAATGTCACGAAGCAGATAAGTATAGATAATTGTGTCAGGTAAAGGGACCCGTTTTCACAAAACATATTTTGCTCAGGAAAATGCTTTAGTTTGAGTTTTCATACTATGACAATTCAAATTATGATAATACCCAAATGATAATACAAAGGAGTAATAAATGGAATCAAGCACTGTTCCCTTCCAGTAAGCCTGCTTGCTGTGTAACCAAGAACCCAAACCACACCTACCCAGGTTTGGAGCACAAATAACAAATGTCTTTCAAATCATACTTTACAAATTTGTGAAATTTAAATTTTTTAAAAAAATTATGACTGTTTGTGGGACACTCCTGTGAGTAATTGGCTACCGTGCTTAACCCACAAAATGTAGACAATTTACTTTACAATACTCGCCTTACTAGCGAGATGACCTGGGTTCGATTCCTGAGCAGGGTGAAACGTTGAGCAAGTTTCCTTACTCCACACACCACTGTTTACCAAGCAGTGAGTAGGAACCTGGTTGTTAGTCAAATGGCAGATTGTTTTTTCAAGGGTAATAATCCCTTAAAATAAAAAAAATAAAAATAAAAAATAATTTGGTCGCTCAATTCACGATTGTTTGCAATTGGCTGCCCGTTTTGCCCACAATATATACAGTCAATTAACTTAACAGTATATTCTGTGAAGCACTTGAGAGGTCTCAAAGATGTGATAAGGCGCTAAATCAAATGCAAGGGTTATTATGTTATTATATATTCTGTGAAGTAATTTGAGACCTCTCAAGATTGGTAAAATAATGTAGCAAATGCAAGGATTATTATTATTTTTATGTCTCATGTTGGTAGTTCTCTATTTACAGCTATGAAATGTTGTTTAAATTAATTATAGTGCACATTCCAGTGGAACTGAACAGTTGTGTGGTAAGAAATTTCAAAATTTTATCTGGGAATTTGTTGGCCGGGACAGTGGAAGAAACTCCCTTCTCTTCTAATAGCACCATAGGATCTTTGTGCCTCTGAGCTCAAAGTCCGAACATGGTGAGAATCCTACTGAGCCAGGTTCACAAAAGATGTGCTTGCAACAAATACAAAAATGATTCGTTGAAAACTTGGTAGTGTCCCAAGAAATGCATTTAATTTATTGATAAAATTCACAGCATGCAGTCATTTTCTTGTTGCAGGATCCAGGCCATTATCTGTGGCAGGAAGGAAGCCAGATTTTATAGAGATGATGTGAAGGAATGTAATAGATTTTACTTAATTGATTTGGGGCTCATGGATACCCTATGGGGAGTATTTCCCAGATAATGTGGGATCAAGATCATCATATGCTGGTTTTGCTATGGACTGTGTACAAGGCAAATATAATTAACTGAGTGATCTTTTCTAGTTCCATTTGTTGCTTCTTCCCTTCCTAACGTGCAATGGTCCTATTTCAGGCCACCAACTAAAGCTTTCTTTTTTAAGATAAAACATTGAATATTTTAATTATATATTTTACTAATCACTTATATGTGACATAGCAACTTCCACTTCAGGAGGATGTCTCCAAGCTCTTCACAGAACATACTATAACATATAGTGACTGACACAGCAGCCAATTTGCACACAGCAATGACTCACAATCAGCCATATAGTGAATCACTAATTTTGTTTGAGGGATTGTTTGGTAGGACACCTGGAGAAATTCATAATCTGTATTGGTTGTTTCCTACTAACCTGGAGTCAGAAAGCTAGTAAACTGATAGAAGATTTCATTGTCTTTCTTTCGTCCACTGTATCCCACAATACTGCCCACATTCAAAGGAAAAGTCTTTATGTGTGCTCCTGTGGTCAGGTCATGCAGCTGTAGCACATTCTTCACATCATGAAGGTAGCATAAAATCAGAATGTTGAATCTGACACATCCAGCCCATTCTGAAAATAGGAAAAAATGTCAACAGTAATCTTTGGTGGGGGGGTGGTGGGGGACAAGAGAAAAAAAACAAATGGTTTACAAATGATTATTTCATACAGGGAAAATATAGCTTTAACTCATTTTAAAGATTTAAGCATATTCGAACAAACATAGGGGATCAGTGAACACTGTACGTGGCGAAACTAAACCTTTTATTTGAAATAAAAATGCATTCATTTCATCACAATCATGATTCTGTGAATCAAGGGCACAGACCAAATGAATTTCCAATCATCCAGAATACAGAAAAAAAATTGTCGATGGGCATTATTGACACAAGCTGTCCAAAAAAAACTAAATACAAATCCCAGCATAAAACATACTAAAATATACAGCATTTGGAATCCTGTGCTTAGAGCACTCGCCTTGCAAGTGAGAGACCTGGGTTCTATTCCCGGCAGGGCGAAATATTGGGCAGGTTTCCTTACTCCACACGCCTCTGTTTACCTAACAGTAAGTAGGAACCCAGTTGTCAGTCATTTGGCGGATCGCTTTTCCGGGGATTAATAACCCCTGAAAAAAAATCTAATAATAATTTGGTCACTCAATCCATGACTGTTTGTGGGTCACTGCTGTGCACAATTGGCTGCCACATTTTGCCCACAAATATAGTCAATTCACTTTACAGTATATTCTGTAAAATGCTGTGAGATGTCTAGAAGACGTGAAAAGTACTATATCAAATGCAAGGATTATTATTATTAAAAAATGTCACACACTGGTGGCAAGTCTAATCAAGAAATTACTTTTATAAATTGTTTTGACTTTGGTCTTATAGTTTTGACACAAAATATCTCCAGTTAGAAGAAATATTTGGAACATTGATGGGTCTATAATATGGACTAATTCAATAACTAGTCTAACCATGTTCATTTGTTTACTCTCTTCAAATGTGGATGGATCTAAACACACTTAAGAGCAGTCTTTGAGCTTTTGTTATGAAACAAACATAAAATATTTGGAAAACTGGAAAGACACACAGCAGACTAAAAAAAGGCCAGGAGAAACTTGGGATTTTCATTGTCCACTTGGAACAGGCAGACATGACCTTGGTTTTAAAACTTCACCTAAAGGATGGCAGCTCTGACAATACAGTGTTCCCCTAGCATGGCAATGGAGTATCAGCCTAGACTATAAGCTCAATTTGTAGATATGGGCTTGAACCCATCAACATGACTCAGAAGCAGGAGTGCGACCAAGTGAGCCAGATGAACATTGAATAATATGCATGCGCAGGACATAGAAATTATGTTAGTGGTGCTTCCTGAGCATAGCACAGAAAATGACAGCAGCAATCTGATTACCAGAAGTGATGCCATTTTTTTCACACTTCACTTATTACATGGCCTGTGAACTATTGGAAATAGAGGACCCAGTAAGAACAAAGTTCTCTTGTACAAAATTACTTACCTAGCAATAACATTTTTAAGAAAAAACAAATTACAGTGCTTACCTAGTACATCTTTGTTTTGCTCTGGAACTAAAACTTTCCATTTAGAAGGATCAGGATCACTGAAGTCAATATTGATTAAGCGGTAACAAGGAGAATTGAGATTTGTCTTGAATGTGAAGACCGTGCCTGCATTTGTGACGTATTCATATTCTGCATCAAAGTTATCCATGAGTTTGACCCATGGTAGAATTCCTATTCAAACAAAGTAACTGGTCAGTTGAATAACTTCTGTACAATTTTTGAGAATAATTTTGAATAACTGAAAACTTGGCTTCCAAATGAAGAAAAATTAAAACATTTTCTACAAATCTGCCTGGTCTTAATTTAAGACAAATTTGTCTTATGGACTAAATGAAATTTCAGGCCTTGAGTTATTGCAATGTAGGAATTTTGGTATTTAAGCTAGTAATTATCGGTTGTCATAGGAGACAATGAATGTGACTCTGGGAAACTTGAGGAAGTCTGGATACCCTAAGGACTAGAGAGTATAAAATTCTACTGCTCGGTTAAAGAAAATGGAAAGGGATTAACATCATGGTGGTGAAGACTTATGTGGAGTATAAGCACGGATTAGTTGGGCCAAATTGCTTGTTGCTGTGCAGTAACATTCTACATAATTCTACATCATCCTTCTACCTTTAATGGCACAAATATTGCTGATTTCTCTCCCCATCAACATCACAGGGATATTGACAAGAAGCTTAACTGGACCAGCCACAACATTGTGGCCGCAAGACAATTTTTGAGAATAATTTTGAATTATTTAGCCACTAAAAACTTGGCTTCCAACTCCTCAAATTGCATTCACCATCTACAAGGCTCGAGTCATAGAATGCCTGCAGCAAATTAGCAAAGCCAGCTTCCACAGCATCCAGAACATGAACAGCAGTATAATGCAAACATCACCACTGCAAAGTTCCCCTCCAAGTCATTCACCATCCTAACCCACATATTTCTTCAATGTCACTGGGCCAAATTCCTGGAAGTCCCTTCCCAAGACCATCGTAGAAGCATCGCCACAAAGACAGCAGTGGTTTAAAGCGAATGCACACTGCCTTCACTTTAAATCAGGTCATCAGGTCAACCAGGGATGATCAGTGAATAATGCAATGCTAAAATGCTACCAACATCACCCACATCCAGAGATAAGTTAAAACATTTATTTTTAATATGGTTTAATGTAGCTGAACATTTGCAAACATCAGTCTATTAAAATAAATTAGTTAATACCTTCAGAAATGGCATAAACCTAATGCCTCTTAAGTATCTTACAAAGGCTCATAATTAAAAGCTTTCCCAACAAGATGCAGATCTTTCATTTCATGAACGTTTTAACGAGACAGAAAAATTCATTCATGACTCATGGTAGGCTGGGGAGGAAGTTTGGTCAGCATCGTGAGATTCTGGAGTATTCTGACCACAAACATTTTAAAGAGGCACCTGTACTCTTTCCCATTGGGTCTTAAACCCTTTGTATGTGGTAAATATCTTCAAATGAAAGAAAAATTTACCTTTAATACCACCAGGCATCTCTTCTAGATCACAGTACCAAAGCCGGTTGACCGGGTCACAGCCTTCTCTGATAGACAAGAGAATATATCGGCCATCATCTGATATCTATACAGAGGGATGTAATAATCCTCAAATGTAAACATGCTGTTAAAAATCAGCAATTAACATCAGTTATCAATTAAATAAATATAAAACAGGTCATAATGTTGTTTGTCAATAATCTATTCAAACAAAATACAAATGCTGTTTCACTAATAATGAAGAACCAAACAAAAGTATCGTACTTAAGAAATCTAAAATAATAAACAATTTCATCTGATGGATAACATATCCTGACATGGATTTGGTGAATCTGAATAAATCAGCGTAATCACTGGGATCAACCAAGTGGTTAGTGCAGGTCATTTTAGTATGTGTATTTGAAATTTATTGGGGGGGGTGGGGGGGGGGAAGAGAGAGAGAAAAAAAGGAAAGGGAGTATGCCAGGACAATTTGTTTTAATTAAAAACTGGGATGAATGATTTTGCTATGATGCAGAGGCAAGTATACTTTTATTATATTGTAATAATGATAATCCTTACATTTGAGGATAGAGCCTATCATACTATCGAGACATCACAGGTCACTGTAGTGTAGTGACTGTACTTGTAGACAAATGTGGTAGCTAATTTACATATAGCAATCTCCCAACAAACAACTCTGATTTTTTTTTAACCTGGAAGACTATTGGCAGGGAAACGGGGAGAAACTCCCTCCTCTTTGATTTCTGCCAAAGGTTCTTTCATGTTAACCTGTACAGGCAGACAGGACCTTTGTTTACAATACAAATTTACAATTACATAGCGCTTTTCCCGTTGGGAAGACATCAAAAGGAGTTTAACATTCCTGTCTTGGCACCCAAGCTAGAGGTAGGAACCGAAGGGGGTGGGGAAGGGAAAGATGACCAAAGGCGCAGTCAAACTAGTAGGGCTTGAGATGGATCTTGAAAGAAATGACGGAGGGAGCGAGACGAGAGGGACTTCGGAGGGGAGTTTCAGAAAGAATGTCTCATCTGAACAACAGCACCTCGTACAATAAAGGGCTCCCCCAGCATTTCATTTGAGTGTCAGCCTAGATCAAGTACTGCTTAAGAGATGTGGAAGGTGTTGTAAGAAAATTGACAAGATGGATAGTGGTCAACCCCAGCCTCTCGTACAGCTGTCCAAATCAAAGGGGATACAATTCTAAAATTAGAGCTGAACCAGTTAGAAATGAGATCAGAAAACATTTCTTTATCCAGGAGGTTATGAGAATGTGGAAACCGCTGCCAAGCAAGATGTATAAGCAGATGTTTAAAAGGGAGATAGATATTTGAGAGTAAGGGTATCATGCCATAGTTTACCATCTATAACTAAGATAGCTGCCTAACTTCTGTTGTCAGTAATGGCCAGAGGGTTCCCTGGACATGGCCAGTGTTCTACAAAAGAATCATGAAGGTGGTTTGGGATCTGGAAATAGTGCTTTACATAGTTATAAATATGGAGTCCTGTAGCTCAGTGGTTAGAGCACTCGCCTTGCAAGCGAGAGACCCAGGTTTGATTCCCGGCAGAACAAAACGTTGGGCAAATTTTATTACTCTACATGTTTTTGTTTACCTAACAGTAAATAGGTACCCAGTTGTTAGTTAATTGGCAGATCGCTTTTCTGGGAGGGTAATAACTCCTTAAAAAAATTGGACCATTTGTGGGACACCACAGTGTGCAATTGGCTAAAGCGTTTCGTCCACAAAATATAGTCAATTCACTTTACAGTATATTCTGTGAAGCGCTTTGAGATGTCTTGAAGATGTGATAAAGTGCTATATCAAATGCAAGGAATGTTATTATTATAGTTTGACCCAACAGGCCACAACAAAGATCAATCTGTAAGGAAATTGGAAGAGTTGATGCGAAGGCTGAGCAGACTGAAGGTCTTAATGATCCAGTCTGCCGGGAGGAAATGAACTCGACCTATGTCGCCTTGCTAATGGTAAGGCAGCAGATGCAGACAGTATTAATGCCAAACTCCTAAAAGTTGCTCTGAGGAAGGAGGCAGAGATTGGCGAGTGTTTTACAGATCAATGCAGGAACAGTTAACTCATTAAGGAACTGCTCTTTAAAAGGCAGTCAACAGAATTCTGTCTGGGGGTGCACACATGGTAGTATTCCAGAGAGCCAGTAACGCTAGCAGGTAAGGTGGTCATAACTGGATAAATAGCAGAAAGATTGCCAGGCAGCGTTTGCAATAAATAGCAAACTGTGCAGTCTTAACTAGCTAAATGCCAGTAGTACCACAACACACACTCTGGGGTCCCCAAATCTCAACTCCTGCTAAACTGCACTTAAAACTTTCAGGAATTATGCATTTCCAGGCAAATGGATATTTCCATGCATAGATGGACTCTGTCTGGTTTGGATACTTTTAAGTATGTCGATGATTTTTCTCATGCACCAGACACCCGGCTGACCAAAATAAAAAGCAGTGTACATATGCATGCATGAAAGAGGTTTTTGTTGCACCAGATATTCTGGCATTATTTAACTATTTCTTTCATGGTGAATATGCACATGCATCTATGATCATTAGATAGAACTGTTAAAATTGGTTCTCAAATTATCTGGACAGAATCCTATATTTCTTTTCTAAAATGTCCATAGATTATGCATCAAACAGTGGATTACCATGTCTACTTCAGTATAATCCATGTTAATATTTTTAAATGGCCTTGTCATCACTCTGCTTCCTGGAAAGGGCCATCCGGAAATTCATGGAGCCTGAAATTCCCACCTTTAAAACTGTAACTTAATCAATGTCTTGTATAGAATTATCATTTCCTTGCATTGATATTCTACGCCTCTAAATATAAAACATGGCATTCTATTCACTTTCTTATAGGCACTCCACCTTTAAAAATATTTGTATATCTGAATTCTCATTATTAAGAGCTTCGCAATAGTTGTTAAGAGTTTATAAAAGGTACCAATCAATCTAAGACTAATCCAGTGTCCTTTTTCATTAAACCACAGAAAAAAATCACAATAGCTGGACCAACCAGTTCATTTTTATCCAGCAAGTTAAAAGTCAAATCAAAAGCAAGAGTATTTTTCTCTACTCAGTGAACAGATGTACTAATTATTATGAAAAGATGAATGATCTGCACATTAGTATGTTAAAGCTAGCATAAAATTTAGATGCTGATGAGTCAACCAAGTAACAGAAGCTGCATAAACATTCTGCCTTTTTTTTCACTGAAGTCGCATACTTTTAACACAATGAAGAAAACAATTAGTTTAATTTTAGAAAATATTGCTAATTAACACTTTCATCTTGTTATTGTACATTCTGATAAAGTTGCTCACTTTCTGGGGAATGATGTCAAAGGTAAAAATAATCTCACATAAACAAGAATTCTATCCCTTGCTCATCCAAATACAGCAATGTAAGCAGAGTTGCTTTCAGTGTGTTCGTGCTTGTGTGTGGGGAAGGGGGGATAAATGTATTGTTAAAAAGCAGAAAATATAGGAATATAGGGAAACACAAACAGGAAAATCAAATCAACAAAGCAAAACTTCCTAGGAGGAGTTCAACACTCCACAACATTTTACATTTTAATAATGCCTTTCACTTCAGGAGGATATCTCAAATCACTTCAGCTATCTGGGAGCCCAAGATGGGGACAACGCCAACATCACTGAGCTGCAGAAATCATCAAATCATTGAGGACTGAGGAATGCTACATGTGATAGTGCAGGGGCGAGAGGAGACAATACTGGAAGAGACAAAATGAAGTCACTGGGTCAGGCAATATTGAAACCCGGAAAGGATAGAGCCCTGGAAGTGGAACAGGATGGAATGGTCAACAACAATGAAGGTGACAAAAAGATCGACTTCTCATTTGATGTTCAATTTTCAACAGGGTCACTGAATAGCAAAGAGGGGCAGAAGCCCTGACAGAATTCCCTTCCCTACCACAGGGACACTAAAGCAAATTGATCTTCCCAATTATTTTTACAACTCAGATCAATCAGCTGCCTCAGGACATATTGAAAACTAAACCGGCAACATTCTGTGATGTATGAGTGCTGTGTTTACCCACTTGGTCATCAGGAAAGCCCAGTGGGGTAGGAGTCATGTCCTGGACAAATGTTTTGCAATCTCAAAACAATGCTGTTTACTATCACTAAATCTATAGCATAGGATACATAAAGTCAGCTAAGCCCAATCTCATCTGTTATTTGATGCCACATAAAAATAAAATCCTATGCAACAAGTAGTAATATTTTTAAACAGTTACTGAACAATACCTCAGCTCCACCCATCCACTTTGGATAGTCTGGAAATTCGGCACTTAATATATCTTTTGACTGCTCAGTGCCCAGTATGTGGTAATACAATTTTTGATCCAGATTTGTAGATGTTTCTGTACCTGATTTGGAGGGGAGGGGGGGAAGAAGTAGAAGCAAACAGCAAAGTAAGAAAACCTTCAACACTTTCAATTTCCAAGCTTAAAACAATTAGCATACACAAAATGTATAATACAAATTTACATTTATTCTGCCGCGTTTTGTTTTACCCACAAGATATATAGCCCATTCACTTTTTTCCCCAAATCAGGAAAAAACATTATAAACTATGTATCATGTCCACAGGGTTTCCTAGTTTTGTTGCATTTATTTAATGTTGGCTTCCAAAGGTCTCAAGCTTACCATCATTCTTTCCATCCTGCTTTTGGTAACAGTTGTAAAAAATTCCCTTTCCATCATGAGTCCAAGCCATGCAACTAAACTTCACCCTTTCCAGGGTATCTGAAAGTTCCACAGCACCATCAACCTTTAAGAATTTGATGGTTACCCAATCTGAGCCACTTGAACTCAATCCATATGCAAAATATTCACCATCTTCAGAGAAAGCATAGCCTGAAACAAAGAAAGGGTTACTTTATTAGAAACCATCTGCACGTGTTGCAGCTACGCTTGCAACCAAAGGATCCAATATGGAAAGTAGAGTATTATTATCCTTTATATTAAATTATTATACTTTATTATACTTTGTTATATTATTATTATACTTTACATAACGATAGGAGATACCCCCCCACCCCATATGCCCATGACACTCCCCCAATCAAGATCTTTCCAATGAGGTATAAATCATGTCTCTACATCAATTGGTTATTACGTTATTGGCAGACAGACACAGACAGACATTTTGTCTTTATCAGTATAGAAAATTGAAAATAATTTTTGGTACCGCTGGTGCCACATACATACTACACAGGAATTGATATCAATTATGGCATTCTTCAACAAAACGCCTCTCCTTTACAACTCAATCCACAACTTTAAACACCTTCTATACACTTCTGCTGGTGATTCAGTGGTGGACATGTTGACTCCCCTCCTATCTTACAGTGTCATTAGACCTTATACATGAAAAAAGGGAGAATTCTTCCTATAAGAATAATTGCTCAAAAAAGTACTACTTTTATTCAAAAATCATACCTCGCAAATATGGTCTCACCCAAAAGGAAATAAGACGCATTTTCTATACTAATAAAGATGAAATGTCTATGTGTGTGTCTGCCAATAACGTAATATCCGATTGATGTAGAGACATGGTTTATACCTCATCGGAAAGGTCTTGTAAGGGAGTGTTATGGGCATATTTGTTTTGGGGATCTCCTATCATTTGAAATTTACATATTTTTAAAAAAATGCTTTATTTAAACCCCAAAATATGAGGTATGCATAGTATTCTGCAACAAAGTAGCGACAGAGGAAATCACACACCCTTCTCAAGATACATCTATATATATTAATATATTCTGCAACAAAGTAACGACAGAGAAAATCACACAACCTTCTAGAGAGGTACATCTATGTCTGTCTGTGTGGCTGTCTGCCGATAATGTAATAACCGATTGACGTAGAGACATGATTTATACCTCATCGGAACAGTCTTATGCAAATTATAATAATCTGATATAAAGTATAATAAATCTGAAATCTACATTCCATATAGGATCCTTTGGTTTCAAGCATAGCTGCAACTGGTACAGCTAATATATACTAAAATGAAAAATTATACAATTAGACCACATCTGAAGTACCACAATCAACTTTTCACCCCATACATCATAAGACCACAGAACACGGACATGGACAGAACACATGTGTGAAGTCAGTGGGAGTGAAGAGAGCCACAAAGAGAAAGGGCTCTCTTAGGGAAACATGCAAAAGTCAGTATGATAGTGAGAGATATAAAGGACCCAAGGCGGGAGGGAGGGAGGGTGAGTGACATACAAGGAAGCTATTTTGTTTTCAGTACTCAAATCAATAATATGGATGTGAAGTTCAACAGAGTACGGATTATTTTCTAGTATGTGCATCAAGTTGGCATCATGAAAACGAATGCTGGCCAGTGTACACAAAAATCTGACTTCAATTCAGCTATGAATAAAGAAAATTAAATCTGGTTGAGGTTGTAAATCAAAGTGCTCCAGATGAAGACAGATAACAAGCAGAGCAGACTGCAGCAATGTATAACTGAGTACTTTTTCCATTTATGACAATCAATGCATGATGTACCATACTAAAAACTAAATTATACCAAAAACAAGTAATCTATTATACTTCTGTAAAGGAAAACTTCTCTTTGCACCACAAAAGGAAGAAAAAAGCTTGCACCCGACTGGAAAATAAAAAAATATAGGAAATGGCTAGAAAAGCATTTTATAACTTCATAGTTACAAGATTGTCAGTTGACAATTTTAGGATTTTTTTTATATAGAAGTTAAAATTCAATGTAATGGATTCATTGATCAATAACCAAAACTAGAGAAGTTGTTATCATAGTAAAGAAACTGATGAAAATTAATGCTTTGTCATGTGCAAATGTTTTAAGTCATCACCCCATCTCCAACCTGCCCTTCCTCTCCAACCCTAAGGAACTAGAATATGTCATTGCCTCCATGTAAAAGTTCCTCCAATTTGGCTTCCGCCTGCTCACAATGCAGACAATCCTAATCAAAAATCAAAAAGCATCCTGCGTTTGCAACCAGGGCTCCTTTTTGTCCCTGTTTTCATTCCTACTTGTCCTAGCAACTTCACTTTTTCTCTTCCACCAGTTTCTCCTCCTGCCTCTGCTTAGTTACATACCGTGTTTCTCAGGGCTCTAGGCTGGGTCCTATCTTTTTCCATATGCTCCCCATGCAACCCTAATCCACAGGCATTCCCTCTGCTCCTCTACCCCTGATCTGCTTCTTGACTGCTCCACCCCACCACCAACAGGCACAGTCAGGCACCTCTCTCTCTCTGCTTTTAAAACCCATTTTTGACTGTGCTTTCTGCCTAGTAACTCTCTTTGCCCCCACCCCCCTTCCCACTCTGTCACTGCAAAGCACTTTGAGACATTCTCCCTACGTGAAAGGCACGATACAAGCGCAAATTGTTGTACATTTTCCATGTCAAGTTGGCATAAGAGGTTGCATCTGTGCTAATGGCATTAAATTGAATCGATAGGCAAATTGTGAGCATTATGAAAGCTTTCAGGTTGACATTCATAAATGAAAGAAATGGTTGACAAATACAATAAAAATTCCATGTGTATAGCACTTTTCACATCAGGAAAATGGCCCAGAAGTAGCAGTTTGACAGAAATAAAGAAAACCCTTTGTTTATTTAAAAAAAAGGAAAATGGTATGATTAAAATTTTCAAAAAAAATTTAATTTCTACTTCATTTTATAAAAATGGATTTTGGATCTTTACAAACGGTTTTTAAACACTAACCTCTTAAAGCTACAGTACCATCATCTGAGAATTTGTTGGGATCAAGGAAAATTTGAGGTTCATCATCCAGCGAACACTGGACATACATTACACTTTGGTTTTGCAACCCTGTGTTGAAGAAGTGAAAATATCTGTGTACACAAAATTAAGATGTTACAACATTTTAACCTAGATATCAAAAACTAACAAACAAGCAAGGAATATCACAAGAATTTCTTTAAAAAAAGGGAGAAATACTAGGAATAAAGAATTATTTGAAATTTGCAATATGGGTTCCGTTCTGCGGTTCCGAGATTTTCTTGAACTGAATTAAACATAAGGGAATGCTTACAATATTATGAAAAGATGTTCAAAATAATGCTCAACGTAGCTCTGTCTCTCTGAGTGCTGTTTAAAAAAAACAGAATTTGGGATTTTTTTAAAACACTTGTCTTGCAACAACAAATTCCATTTGTCTTGCACCTTTCACATCAGGAGTTCATCCCAAGGCCTTGGACAGCCAGGGATTTGAGATCAGGAGGGGTTGAGGGTAGGTATCGGAGGGTGACTGAAGGCCCTGCCGAAGAGGAGGGTCTGCAACAATTTCATGTCTGTTCGGAGCCACCATTTTCAGGTAATTTTCAGGTTAATACATTTCAGAGCTCAACCAAAATCACTACACCCCTTACTCACTGCTTATAATGAACTGGATGCAAAAGTGAATCATCCCAATTAAACATTCAATATTGGAAACAGCAGATCCAAAACATGCATAAATTCAGTGGGGGGTTTTGGATCAAACGTTGGGGCTTAAAAATGAAAATGGTCACTGTTGGCCCTTATTCTAGAACAATACTTTGAGATAAATTTAAGTATTATAAACCAAGCTGAATTTTTGAGGATACTATCATTACTAAAATTTGATTTTCAAAATTGTAATAAAAGTAAATATGTAAAAAACAGAAAAACATTTGAGGGGATAGGTTTCTAGGTTATAAAACATAACAAAATATTTTAAACCACTAGGCTGGATTCAGTATGCTACCCATTGGTCTTCAACCAACCCCATCAACTGCTCAACAATAAAGAGTTTATGGGTATAAAGAATAAATTCTGCCACTCCTTGAGATAGATTACTGCCCTTAAAAAAGTGAGAAATGCTGTTTAACAGTATATCTTTTCAAAACATCCTGCAGCTTAGTTCCATCTCTTTTCAACAAACTTCTGTGATGCAATGAATATTAGTATTTTTGGTAGATGCTTGTAGCTTATTCCTAATGCTGTAAGCAGTAGAATAAAGCGCTCAAGATGAATCCTTCAACATTTTATCCCCATTTGATCTTTTATTTATATTTGCAATTTTTCTTTGCTTCAGAATATTTTGCCCATTTCTACTTAATCACCTAAAACATTTGGACACATATTTTGCAAAGTTTTGTTTTCGCCTTCCAAATCTGTAATAATTCCAATTATTGGCTGTAGATTTTCCACCAACATCTAAACATATCATCTGATAGAGATAAACAATATAAATATAACAATATCAATATGAACATTGATTACATAAAAATAACTGGCTTTGAGCTCTATAACACCTTGATTAGTGTATCTATTTATGGCGACCATCTATTTCAGTGCAGCATCAGCACATATGATGGCAGTCAGTTTATATGTTGAGATGGCTGGCAACATGCCACAAGCAGGATTTGGAATCAATGCCATCAAATCCTTTAGATAGAAGGATTCAAGGAAAGAGATGCCCTTTTGGCAAAAGCTTACTGTCCACAATCTACTTGATTCACTCGACTTTCATCTGTTTGTCAGAAACCAATCTTACCTCAAGTGTGCGAGTTTAAATGCCACATGAAAGTTGGCTAGGAAGCAAAATAACTTGTCACAATGGTAGTATTTCACTCTTCTGAATTATTAATGTTCTCACCCTGTTGGATCACTCTCTGCTTAAAGAAATACCTATTCTGATTTACATTTGACCTGCTCTCCTAATAACTTGAAGTTCCAACGCTGCCCGAGTAGCGAAGGAAATTGTTACTTCTAGTTAACTGCACAAACCAGCTGATGAGAAATGGTCTATAGTTGAAACCCCGCAAAGACTGTTAGTGCAATCTGATTGATACTAATCCGATTCTACCTCTTTCCTCTTCGAAAATGGCAGCTGTACTTTGGATAATCATAGAGTTCCGTCATTCTTTTCTTGAATTTTTCCCTCAATGCGCATTTTTCCAGGAATGGCATTGTCAACTTATTCTGAGCTTCCACATAAGCCTGAAACAGTGCAAATTCAAAACAGTAAAATTAAAAATGGTAGTTTAATTCAGCCAATTAGGTCAGCGTTAAAGGTGTCACTTCATCTTAAATCTCATATACTTATATTATTTATGTATAACTGTGCATTTAGTTTAGTCCCTCAAATAAAATGTGATGCAGTAATTACTTTATTTAAGATCTTACAAAAATAGTATGGAGGCCATTTCTGGTCCATCTGCTATTTTAAATATGTCAATTTTGCAAGGCACAAAGATACAACATGCAATCTCATGGTCTTAATCTTTGCTTTAACACGGTTGAAATACTTACATACTCATTAAAGATGAAAGGCTATACACTTACCTTTGTTTCCTCACTATCTGGGTCTTCCAGCCAGCTATAAGGGTCAGGAATTTTATGTCCATGGTAATCATTAATCTGTTCAAAAGAACCCAAAAGATTAAAAGCATGGCCACACTTGACTCAAACTGGAGTGTAATATGAATTTATTTAAAAAAGTTATTCTATTCATTCTCTTTCCTAATAAGTTCTGAAATTTCTTTATAAGTTTGTGATAATAGTGATTACATTTCCGATATTGTATACCTTTACGTTTTAGATAATTTACATAATGAAAAAAGCAAAACTTACAATTCTATTAAGAATTGTTCAATAGACTTCAGTGCATGGAATGTTATGATAATCAACCGGGTCAAATTAAAATCCCTGGTTTACGTGAGCTTAAACGTAAAAACAGGAGTAGGCCATTCAGCTTCTCAAGCCTGTTCCGGCATTCTGTAAGATCATGGCTGATCTGTACCTCAAGTCCAATTACCCGCCCTTGCCCCTTATCTGTTAATACCCTGACCTAACAAATAGCTATCCAAGAATAACTACAATATATCATCTGTGTAGCAGCCAAGGCTTCCGCATTCCTTAGGATTGTCTGTGTGCATGAGAACTATGCTTAAAATGTGCTCTGCACAAATACAATTTGGTATTTTCCCCTCGCTGAATATCAGCATCCATATCTAACTTGGGTGGTATTTTATGTATAAAACTAGCATAAACATCTCTGACCCAAATAGTGCTACTCTTTTACATATCTGTCCATACTTCATAAGACTGCATTTGGTTAACAGTAATTGAAATATGCACAAAATAATATGTTTAAAGCCATATGGAAAAGCAAAAATATGTTGGTAGCATATGGAGCAGAAACTGGGAGCTCTGATACAAATATATATGTTAACTACTACTGTACATTACAAATGTTTGCGTTTTCACTGCAGTCACACTTGGTAGCCACTGAGTCAAAGTGGTGCAGTGACACCGTGTGTCACAGAGGACGCAGTCAAGCGGTGGGAACAAAATAAATAACAAAGACATAGCTAAAACGCGTCAGTAACAACAAAATTACATTTTTAAAGCACCTTTCACGTGGGGAGGATGTCCCAGTGATTATAAATTATAAATTTATATTATCATAATAAAGATGCCTAAGCAAAAATCAAACCTTTCAAGGATAAGTAAAAATGCTAGACAAAAGACAGGAGGCCCATTAAATTAAACTGAAGAACAAAGAATAGCGTGGCTGCACTTCAATGCTGAAAAGACTGCAACAGCGCAGCAAAATGAGTTGCCCACACAAAGAACAGCATCGCCAAAATGAATCCTTCCACAGAAGTCCTCCCAGACGAGTCTAGATAAAGGTGAAATGTTTGTTCGTGAGTCTGTCTGTCTGTCTGTCAATCTATATTTCATATTCGATCCTTTGGTTTCAAGGGTAGTTGCAATGGGTACAGCTAGTCTGTCTGTCTATCTGTCATATATATATATGTATAGTACACACTAACCATGTCTGTTGGTCTGTACTTAAAGAAGGATCTCAATAACTGATTGACGTAGAGACACAATTTATACCTTATCGGAAAAGCCTTTCATCTGGGAGTGACAAGGGCATATTTATTTTCGGGTATTTCCTATCATTCATGAGTTATGACATAAAATGCATTTTAGTTTTGCGTTTTTCACTGCAGGTACATCTGGTGGCCACCGAGTCAAAGTAGTGCTGTGGCATTGTGCATCACAGAGGCCTTACGTATGTACGCACCCACTGCAGTTACATCTGGTGGCCACGCCAGCTGACCGTGGCGCTGTGGCATCCTGCGTTACAGAGCACGGATGCAGCCAAGCAGTGATGGGAACAAAATAAAGAACACAGACGAAGCCAAGGTGCGGCAACAAAAAAATTAAATTTTTAGAGCGCTTTTCATGTCAGGAGGACGTCCCAGTGATTTTCAAATTATACATTTATATTTATCATCATAAAGATGCCTATGCGGAAACCAAATCTTTCAAGGAAGGATAAGTAGGTGTGTCTGTCTGTGTGTCAATCTACATTCCATATTGAATCCTTTGCTGCAATGGGTACAGCTAGTATAATATATGATAGGAGATCCCTCAAAAATATGTCCTTGGTTTTCTCCATCACTAATTTGTTGCAGAATATATTAGTACAGATGTATTTCTCTAGAATAGTGTGTGATTTCCTGTTGCTACCTTGTTGCATGCACACCTCATATTTTGGGGCTTAATTAAAGCATTATTTTAATATAGCTCATCAACGATAGGAGATCCCGAAAAACAATATGCCCATGTCACTTGCAAGACCTTTCCGATGAGGTTTAAGTTGTGTCTCTACGTCAAATGGTTATTGAGATCTTGGCTGATACACACACACACACACACAGACATTGTCCTTTTATTAGTATAGATAATACAGTGAAGTACATGACTGACCTCCAGTGGTAACAGACAATTACAGCAACTCTGCCTAAATGTCAGATGTTGCCAAAATATCAACTATTCAATGCACATTTTATCAATAATGGTTACTTCAAGTTTGCTCAAGTATTAGCTTGGGGAGCAAATAAAGAGAACAAATACTTCTGTGACAACTGCAAAGCGATCTGCAAGTGAATCATAATTTACTCCCAGGCTTCTATAATGAGCCCCAACAATTGCCTGACAATGTCAGTCTGTTTATAGGGAAAAACTTGCATAAATCGTATCATTTGAGACTATAACATTTAATACAGCTAACATGAAGTACGAGTTATAGGCAGAGTCATATCGGCCAACTTAATACAATTCATACTATTTAAGTCTGTCTTTTGTGTCATAATGATGGGTTTCCCGCCGCGCTTGTTTCAATCATAACACTAAGTGTGCATGCAGTACTTTCATCCACGTAGCCAGTAAATGTGCATGCAGTACTTCATCAATGCTGCGCATGCTGCCAGTAATTGCGCATGCGGTGACGGGTCAAGACCTCATTTCCTGCACTCGTTTCAAATGCAGCATTGCACATGCAATCATTCAATGAAACCTGTAAGTGCAGTAGCGGCGATACAAGTGTAGGAAATTATATAGTAATGCTTGAAGTTGATATAGAGCCTTAAAGCGCTTCAGAATATACTGTTAAGTGAATTGACTATTTTGTGGCAGCCAACTGTGCACTGCAAATGGCATAGAATTTAGGATTATTTGGGACCAAAAGTTGATACGACTTAGCCATTTATCCAACTTGTAAAATATGATTAATGTAAAGAAACCTAAATGTTTTTTGTGAGGAAGATGAATGCCACTCAGGTGCAGGTACAACTCAGGTGATTATACTATTTATAATGGGACAACTCATGTGAGCTCTCCCTTCATGTGACAAAGAACTGACCCCTGCTAACTTACATAAGAACCAAAATACTGTACACACTGATGTCAACATTTCCATTTACATTTGAGTTGGTGATCACCTGGGCCAATAGAAAAGTGAGAAATATTTGCCAAAAATTGTGGGGAGATTTGCGGAAGGAATTTTGACAGATTTTGCTGAAAATGGCAGGGAGTTGATTGGTGTTTTTTGGCCTCTGATAGCCCAGCACCGCACACAGACCCTGATAGAGCGACAAGTACACACACACAGATCCAGAGTGACACACACACACATACACTCAGGAGACACAGAGAGACACACATACATACACTAACACACACAGACACTCACAGGTACAGATAATCACACACACACACTCAGAGACAGACACACACTCAGAGACACAGAGAAATACACACATACACAGGTGGAGACACACGCATTCCAGACAGACACACACTCAGACACAGAGCGAGAAATACACACACAGACAGAGGGAGAAACACACACAGACACAGAGAGAGACACACACACTCAGAAACACAGAGACACACTCACACACACAGACACATATTCTCAGAGAGATGCACACTCAGAGACACTCACAAACATACATAGGAGAGACACAGAACAACAAAGACAGACAGACACACAGATAGACTGACACAGACACACACAGACACACACAGACAGACCCAGACAGACAGGCAAACCCAGACAGGCAGGCAACAACAACAACAAAATTACATTTATAGAGCGCCTTTCACATCGGGAGGATGTCCCAAATCGCTGAACAGTCAGGTGTTGGGGCCCGAGAATGGGGGAGGGTTGGGGTAGGGGTGAGGGAAGGCAGAGAGGTGGGAGGGCGACCAAAAGCAAGATCCAAGAGAAGGGTCTTGAGACTGGCCTTGAAGGAGGCATGGGACGAAGCGAGGCCAAGGGACCGTGGGATGGAGTTCCAGAGTGTGGGGACAGAGAGGCTGAAAGCCCACCACCGACGGTAGGGCGGGTCGGGCAGGAGACATGGAGTAGACCGGAACCTGCCGAAGGGAGGGAGCGAGCAGGTTGGTAGGGAGTCAGCAGGTCAGAGGAGTAGGAGGGGGCAAGGCCATGGATGGCCTCGAAAGTGAAGATGAGGATCTTGAACTCAATCCTCTGGGGGATGGTGAGCCAGTGGAGTCTGGTGAGGATGGGAGTGATGGGGTCATGGAGCCTGATGTGCGAGAGTACACGAGCTGCAGAGTTTTGGATGTTCAGCAGCTTGTGAAGGAAAGAGTTGGGAAGACCGATGAGGAGGGAGTTTCCGTAATCGAGCCTTGATGTGACGAATATGTGGGTGAGGGTTTGGGCAGCCTGAGGGGTGAGGCAGTGGCAGAATCTGGCAATGTTACGGAGGTGGTGGTAGGCAGTGCCGGTCATGGTGCGGATGTGGGGGAGAAAGGACAGTTCAGGGTCAAACACGATACCCAGGTTCCTGACCGGCTTAGTGAGGTTGAGTGTGCAGCCGTGGATGCTGATGCTGCCAGCGCCCGAAGTGCGGAGGCGCTGGCGCGAGCCAATCAGGAGGGCCTCGGTCTTGCTGACGCTGAGTTGGAGAAAGTTTAGGACTTGATGTCGGACAGGCAGTCGGTCAGGACACGAGTAGTCCTGGAGTTGAGGGTGGAGGCAGAGAGATAGAGTTGGGCGTCATCCGCACACATGCGGAAATTTACCCCATGTCTGC